CAACTCAAGTCACCTCAAGTCAATTGAGTCGACTCAAAAGTCAATTGCACTAAGCACCTAGTGCTCCCTCTCACCCTTTGAGACAACTCAAGTCACCTCAAGTCAATTGAGTCGACTCAAAAGTCAATTGCACTAAGCACCTAGTGCTCCCTCTCACCCTTTGAGACAACTCAAGTCACCTCAAGTCAATTGAGTCGACTCAAAAGTCAATTGCACTAAGCACCTAGTGCTCCCTCTCACCCTTTGAGACAACTCAAGTCACCTCAAGTCAATTGAGTCGACTCAAAAGTCAATTGCACTAAGCACCTAGTGCTCCCTCTCACCCTTTGAGACAACTCAAGTCACCTCAAGTCAATTGAGTCGACTCAAAAGTCAATTGCACTAAGCACCTAGTGCTCCCTCTCACCCTTTGAGACAACTCAAGTCACCTCAAGTCAATTGAGTCGACTCAAAAGTCAATTGCACTAAGCACCTAGTGCTCCCTCTCACCCTTTGAGACAACTCAAGTCACCTCAAGTCAATTGAGTCGACTCAAAAGTCAATTGCACTAAGCACCTAGTGCTCCCTCTCACCCTTTGAGACAACTCAAGTCACCTCAAGTCAATTGAGTCGACTCAAAAGTCAATTGCACTAAGCACCTAGTGCTCCCTCTCACCCTTTGAGACAACTCAAGTCACCTCAAGTCAATTGAGTCGACTCAAAAGTCAATTGCACTAAGCACCTAGTGCTCCCTCTCACCCTTTGAGACAACTCAAGTCACCTCAAGTCAATTGAGTCGACTCAAAAGTCAATTGCACTAAGCACCTAGTGCTCCCTCTCACCCTTTGAGACAACTCAAGTCACCTCAAGTCAATTGAGTCGACTCAAAAGTCAATTGCACTAAGCACCTAGTGCTCCCTCTCACCCTTTGAGACAACTCAAGTCACCTCAAGTCAATTGAGTCGACTCAAAAGTCAATTGCACTAAGCACCTAGTGCTCCCTCTCACCCTTTGAGACAACTCAAGTCACCTCAAGTCAATTGAGTCGACTCAAAAGTCAATTGCACTAAGCACCTAGTGCTCCCTCTCACCCTTTGAGACAACTCAAGTCACCTCAAGTCAATTGAGTCGACTCAAAAGTCAATTGCACTAAGCACCTAGTGCTCCCTCTCACCCTTTGAGACAACTCAAGTCACCTCAAGTCAATTGAGTCGACTCAAAAGTCAATTGCACTAAGCACCTAGTGCTCCCTCTCACCCTTTGAGACAACTCAAGTCACCTCAAGTCAATTGAGTCGACTCAAAAGTCAATTGCACTAAGCACCTAGTGCTCCCTCTCACCCTTTGAGACAACTCAAGTCACCTCAAGTCAATTGAGTCGACTCAAAAGTCAATTGCACTAAGCACCTAGTGCTCCCTCTCACCCTTTGAGACAACTCAAGTCACCTCAAGTCAATTGAGTCGACTCAAAAGTCAATTGCACTAAGCACCTAGTGCTCCCTCTCACCCTTTGAGACAACTCAAGTCACCTCAAGTCAATTGAGTCGACTCAAAAGTCAATTGCACTAAGCACCTAGTGCTCCCTCTCACCCTTTGAGACAACTCAAGTCACCTCAAGTCAATTGAGTCGACTCAAAAGTCAATTGCACTAAGCACCTAGTGCTCCCTCTCACCCTTTGAGACAACTCAAGTCACCTCAAGTCAATTGAGTCGACTCAAAAGTCAATTGCACTAAGCACCTAGTGCTCCCTCTCACCCTTTGAGACAACTCAAGTCACCTCAAGTCAATTGAGTCGACTCAAAAGTCAATTGCACTAAGCACCTAGTGCTCCCTCTCACCCTTTGAGACAACTCAAGTCACCTCAAGTCAATTGAGTCGACTCAAAAGTCAATTGCACTAAGCACCTAGTGCTCCCTCTCACCCTTTGAGACAACTCAAGTCACCTCAAGTCAATTGAGTCGACTCAAAAGTCAATTGCACTAAGCACCTAGTGCTCCCTCTCACCCTTTGAGACAACTCAAGTCACCTCAAGTCAATTGAGTCGACTCAAAAGTCAATTGCACTAAGCACCTAGTGCTCCCTCTCACCCTTTGAGACAACTCAAGTCACCTCAAGTCAATTGAGTCGACTCAAAAGTCAATTGCACTAAGCACCTAGTGCTCCCTCTCACCCTTTGAGACAACTCAAGTCACCTCAAGTCAATTGAGTCGACTCAAAAGTCAATTGCACTAAGCACCTAGTGCTCCCTCTCACCCTTTGAGACAACTCAAGTCACCTCAAGTCAATTGAGTCGACTCAAAAGTCAATTGCACTAAGCACCTAGTGCTCCCTCTCACCCTTTGAGACAACTCAAGTCACCTCAAGTCAATTGAGTCGACTCAAAAGTCAATTGCACTAAGCACCTAGTGCTCCCTCTCACCCTTTGAGACAACTCAAGTCACCTCAAGTCAATTGAGTCGACTCAAAAGTCAATTGCACTAAGCACCTAGTGCTCCCTCTCACCCTTTGAGACAACTCAAGTCACCTCAAGTCAATTGAGTCGACTCAAAAGTCAATTGCACTAAGCACCTAGTGCTCCCTCTCACCCTTTGAGACAACTCAAGTCACCTCAAGTCAATTGAGTCGACTCAAAAGTCAATTGCACTAAGCACCTAGTGCTCCCTCTCACCCTTTGAGACAACTCAAGTCACCTCAAGTCAATTGAGTCGACTCAAAAGTCAATTGCACTAAGCACTTAGTGCCCCCTCTCACCCTTCCTTCTCCCTCTCTCTCCCCACCTGCTGCAACAGATTGGTCCCAAGAGAGTGCAAGCACTCAAGACCGGCAGCAGCAACATGTACTCTACAAGCCTCCTATTCACCCGCACATCCTCCCCTTGTTCCTCATCCTCTTCCTCCTCACTCACCTCACTCTCCTCCTCCCCCGTCTCCATCTCCTCTACCTCTTCCTCCTCGAGCCGTGCACCCTCTCCCACACACCTACCCCGCGCCATTAAACCCCACAAGTCCCTCTCTTTCTCATCCCTCACTCACACACCCTCTCACACATCCTCGCACAAACCAGTGCAACGATCCACCACCCCCTCACCTCATTCCTCCCCACCTCGCTCCTCCTCCCCTCTTTCCTCCCTCTCCTCTCCGTCTCTCTCCCCCTCGTCCCTCTCACCCGGCCTCTCTCCCTGCCGTTCACCCATCTCGGTCCTCCCCCATCCCTCCTCCTCGCATCAAACCTTGTCCGCTACCAAGCCTCCCCTTGACTTGTACAATTGAGAGAGCAGAAATGCCCGCCGATCCTCTCACCAGCCCTCACTCCCCACCGTTCACTCATCTCGGTCCTCCCCCATCCCTCCTCCTCGCATCAAACCTTGTCCGCTACCAAGCCTCCCCTTGACTTGTACAATTGAGAGAGCAGATATGCCCGCCAATCCTCTCACCAGCCCTCACTCCCCACCGTTCACCCATCTCGGTCCTCCCCCATCCCTCCTCCTCGCATCAAGTCTTGTCTGCTACCAAGCCTCCCCTTGACTTGGCCAACTGACAGAGTTTTTAGAATTCTCTGAAAAAGCAGCTCCAGTTTTGAGACGTCTCAAAGCCAACTGACAGAGTTCTTAGAATTCTCTGAAGAATCAGGTCCCCAATCCTCTCACCAGCCCTCCCTCTGCACAGGATTGGCCATCTCTGTCCTTCCTTTGTCAACGCTACCCCCGCCCCTGCCTCTTACCTCAGCCCCTGCCCCCTGCTGCCCCTGCACCTGCACATTTGTCTGGTTGGCAACTTGCTAACCCAGCGTTTAACTCAATGTCAAACCCTAGCCGATCTTGCCCACCCTTGTGTCATCTAAGACCAACAGTGGCATTGGTATTTTGCACATCACCGTCATCGCCACTGTCGCCACCATCGCCGCCACCATCACCACCACCCACTGCCACCCTCCACCACCCTTGACCACCCTCCACCACCTTCGACACAGGGCCGCTGCAGCCCAGGTTTCTCCTCCATTTAGGGTTCTCTGTTTGTAGCATACCGTAATACCCCGGATATAAGCGCACCTGCGCTTATAATAAAACAGTGTTTTTTGGGGGGGTGCGCTTATAATTGAGTCAGATATATAAGCGCATGCGCATATACAATAACAAGTGCAAATTTATAATTCATTGGCACCAAACTGTACATCTCCTTGTGATTTCAATAGAATCGAAGTGGTAGTGAGTCGCAATTCAGATTCGCTCATGAGCGATTTTCTGCCGGCGCACAGTGGAATTTTACACGTCACTATCAGAAATGCCAGCTCATACTGACTGGACGTGCAGTATGTGAGGTCCTCGAAAGTCAATCGAAGCGAAAATAGTTGTATCCTCACTGAAAATTTGAAATCGCTACCGTTTTAATCTGGTTTAACTTTTAGAATTATACGTGCGCTTATAATAAATCCAGGTTTTACAGGGGGTGCGCTTATAAATGAGGATCGGCCATAAGCGCATTGCTCCAGATACAAGCGCATGCGGGGATTCTACTACCGTATGGCCCCGGATATAAGTACCGTATGGCCCCGGATATAAGCGCAGGCCTATTATGATACAACTATTTTCGCTTAGGGTAGGTATCTTATAAACAGTTCTTTGTCCATTTATAAGGCTTAGAAGACGCTCTAAACCGTCCCAAATACAAGATAACCCAAGCATTTCGAGTAGTGTATGAGATAAGACATATATGTATACTATCCGGGCGATGACGGTAATATTTTGGACCAGGCTTGCCAGCGTGAGTGTTGGTAAGCAGACATTCGAATTTTGTGCCTACAGTTTTCTTCCGCAGTAACATTTGGTCAAGATTAGGGTTTCGGGAGTAAAATGTAGACTCCCGTTTGAAGAAATAGAGCTAGTAGAAAAGAGCTATCACTGCGAAGTAGCAGCCATGCCTTCAGAGAGGGCCAGGAGAATGAGGAGCTGGATCTGCTGTAGTGTGGCTATGGAGGGCGGCACTGGTAGGGAATGCACTAGGAAGTGGCATTAACAGGTAGCACTATGCAGTAGCAGCCATGCCTTTGGAAAGTGCCAACAGAATCAGCAGCTGGATCTGCTGCAGGGTGGCTATGGAGGGCGGCACTGGTGTTGCCTGGGCCTCCTGAGGTGGGGGGAAGGAGGGGTAGGCGGGAGGAAGGGAAGAGGAGAGGAGGACATTTCAAAGGCGCTAGAGGAATTCATTCCTGGTAATTTGAAGGCGCTAAGAGAGTAAGAAGCTGGATCTGGTGCAGGGTGAGGTGACTATGGTGGGGGGTGACTATGGTGGGGGGCACTGGTGTTGCCTGGCTCTCTCGAGAGGCAGGGAGGAGAGGTAGGAGGGAGGAGGGGAGTAGGCAAGGTGGGGGATGGATGGGGATGGTAAAAAACCTGGGCAGGTAGCACCTGACCAGATAGCACCTGACGAGATATTACCTGACCAGATAGCACCTGACGAGATAGTACCTGACCAGATAGCACCTGACGAGATAGTACCTGACCAGATAGCACCTGGCCGGATAGTACCTGCTCCATCCGTACGAAGTTGTAGTCCCTGCCTTGGTCAAATGCTGCCTTGACGTTCTGATAGAGGCGAACAGGGGTGAAGAGTGGTGAAGAGGGGTGAAGAGTGGTGAAGAGGGGTGAAGAATGGTGAAGAATGGTGATGGGAGGTGGTGGCAGGTGAGAAAAAGTAGTGGTGTAGTAGGTTAGGTCCAGAGAGGAACACGAGGAGTGGGTTGCTGCACTGCCCTGGGTTGACAGCTTGCTTCTCAACTCAGAAAGAACGGACTGATCCCGGTGCCCTGGGATCCCGGTGCCCTGGGATCCCGGTGCCCTGGGATCCCGTCCCGGTGCCCTGGGATCCCGTCCCGGTGCCCTGGGATCCCGTCCCGGTGCCCTGGGATCCCGGTGCCCTGGGATCCCGGTGCCACACAGTTGCTCCTCAAATTCGTGAAATGTCATTCCTAACCGTCGCAAATGCACAACGAACCCAATTATACCCCTCACGCCACACCCACCTGCTGCACAAACCCCTTTTGTTGCAGGTGGTTTTTTCTATTTATAGGAAACCCACTTATACCCCTCGCGCCACACCCACCTGCTGCACAAACCCATCGGTAGGGTCAGGCGGCTGAGAACCGTCTGCTGACACAACTCCCTCGTACCCCTCTCCACTCCTTATGTTGTCCACCTGGTGGCATGGTGAGGGGGGAAGGTGGGGTGGGGCATGCATATGAGTAAATAGATGGACGGACAGTCAGTGTGCCAGATGGTAATAATAATGATATGAATGCTGATAACAAAGAACAAGAATACTGTATATGTTTGTAAGCATATGGGTGTACCATGTTGAGTGTGGTGTAGACTAGCCGGACCCACAGCGTTCGAACCCGCACCTCCTGTAGAGGACCGGGGGTGAGAGGACCGGGGGTGTAGAGGACCGGGGGTGAGAGGACCGGGGGTGAGAGGACCGGGGGTGAGAGGGGGCGAGAAAGTGAGGAGAGAAGGGGGGAGATTGACAAAGGGTTGAGAACGGGAGGAGAGAGTGACAGACTGCACTCATACCTTCTGTGGATGACTTTTGAGTCGACTCAAGAGAGAGTGAAAGAGTGCACTCATACCTTCTGTGGATGACCAGAATGAAGATTGTATGGTTGGAGGGGAAGAAATGAGGAGGGACAAGGAAGGAAGCAAGCATAAGCGGGGCTGAGGTCACACTACCAACAGTCCAATGGAGCCCCAGATAGGAGCCATGTCTTTACGGGGCTGCGGTCACACTACCAACAGTCCAATGGAGCCCCAGATAGGAGCCATGTCTTTACGGGGCTGCGGTCACACTACCAACAGTCCAATGGAGCCCCAGATAGGAGCCATGTCTTTACGGGGCTGCGGTCACACTACCAACAGTCCAATGGAGCCCCAGCAGTTTTTGAGACGTCTAAAAAGTCGTCTACTTACATACGAACAGAAGACATAAGCGATAAGCAGGTGAGTGAACACACACAGAGAGCGGTGTGCCCAAGCCAACAAACTTACCTGCCCATCTAACTTACCTGCCCTTCTAACTTACCTGCCCATCTAACTTACCTGCCCATCTAACTTACCTGCCCAGCTAACTTACCTGCCTCGTGCCTTTCGAGAATTCTCAAAAGTGCACGCACAATCCCTGTGCCCATCCTCCCACCCCATGCCCATCCATCCATCCCATACCCCCATGCCTCCATGCCCCTTTGCTTCATGCTTCCATGCCTGCATACCCTCCTAGGTGACCCCACCAACCTCAGCCAGAAAGGGCCCTCGAAGGGCTTTAAGAGCGCTGCTCCTTCTCTCATCGTCACTATCCAAATCCCCCTCCACCCTTTCCTCCTCTCCTACCTCTCTCACCCCCTCCTCATCTCCCTCCTCTCCCCTTCCACCCCCCTTCCCATCTCCACTCCCTGCAGCCCCTCCTTCCACCCCCTCCACTCTTCCTCCTCGTCTCCCCTCCTCCCTCTCCTCCTCACCCTCCACCTCCTTTCCTTCTCGTTTTCTCTCCCCCAATCCCCCCCCGCTCTCCCCCCAACTTCCCTCCTCCGCTTCCCCCTCCTCCCCCTCCTCCCCAGCGCCAGCAGCGCTCATCATCATGGAGAAGGGGGCGGGCAGGGCAGCCTCCGCCAGCAGCAGCTTCAGCTGGAGGTCCTTAAAGCCCAGCGACTGCGCCCGTGCTGCCATGCACGCGTCTACAAAGTCACCCAATGCTTCCTGATGGGGTGGGAGAGGCGAGGAGGAAGGGGGGGAAGGGGGGAGGCAAGAGAGGAGGAAAATCTGACTAACAGGCCTCAGCTCCCCCACTCTCCCCACCCACCCCCTCCCCCTCCTCCCCAGCACCAGCGCCCATCATCATGGAGAAGGGGGTGGGCAGGGCAGCCTCCGCCAGCAGCAGCTTCAGCTGGAGGTCCTTAAAGCCCAGCGACTGCGCCCGTGCTGCCATGCACGCACCTACAAAGTCCCCCAACGCTTCCTGATCGGGTAGTCATGTGGGGGGGAATCGGGGGAGGCGGGAGGGAGGAGAGTTGGGAGGGAGGAGAGAGGGGAGGGAGGAGAGGGGGAGAACACAATGAAGAGACCTCAGCTACCCTGCTCCCGCCCATTCTCCTCCCCCTCTCCCCACCCCACACACACGCCCACCTCTCGTGGCTTCCCCAGCCCTTCAATCCTGGCCTGCACAAACGTCAAGAGTCAATGCACATGCTCACACTCTCACTCGCCCTTTCCCGCACACAGATGCACTCACACACTCACACCTCTTGGCTTCCCCAGCTCTTCAAGCCGGGTCCACACAAACGCCCGCTGCAATGCCAGAGCCAACTCACGCCCTTCAATCACACGCACTCACACATTCTCACTCTTCTTCATACTCGCACACCCACCCACCCACCTCTCGTGGTTTCCCCAGCCCTTCAATTCTGGCCTGAACAAACGCCCGCTGCAGCGCCAATGCCAGTTCATGCCCTTCCAGCCCTCTCCCCATGCCGTCCCCCACTCCCCCTCCCCCCTCCCCCTCCCCCTTCACTTCTAGTTGGTGCTAGGCCTCTTGCTCTTTCTGCTCCTGCTGCTTCTGCTGCTGATGCAGCTTCTATCAAAGATGTGTTGGCAGAAGCAGCAGCCGCAGCACTAGAAGCAGCGGCTGCTGCCGCTGCTGCTGCAGCCTTAGCCACTGCTCCTCCTGCCTCTGCCGCTGCAGTAGCAGCAGATGTAGCAGCATTAGCGGCTGCTGCAGCTCCTATTGTTGCACGCAAGCCAGTCTTTCCGCTTCCCCGCTCCGCCCCTGCTGCTTCCGCCACCTCCCCCGCTGCCCGCGCAACCTCCCCCACCGCGCTAGCTAGATTTCCCATCACGCACAGAAGCTGCGTCAGCGATCTCTGCAGTGACGTCAGCTGCTCCGCTGCTGCGCGCGCGGATTCCTCCCCCCCTTCCTCGTGGGTTCCTCCCGAGGTAGCTCGAGTCACAGTAACACGACATGGTGACGTGGCAGTTTGTCTAACACCTAACGGCGCACGAGCGCGGCTTTGAGGCGCCTGAAAATTCGCACTAATTGACTGCTGCTCGTGACGAGATAATGCATCAGCGAGGCATAGCTTGTTCTCCGGAAGACTCCGAAACCCGCCGGACCATGCTGAAAGCCTCCCTACAGGTCTCCCCATGCGGTCCGTTATAAAGTTCTTTCTGGAGGAAAATGCGGGCCTTGTATCGAGTGGACTGGCGGCCGGACCTCTGCTAAGGACTGGATTCGGTCCTGCTAAACCGAACGGCATTTGTGTTCGAGAAAGAGTCATGTTCAGGCCAGAAGCTAATATGAGGTTTGAGCTGTAAGGTGGCCACTACGTGAATGACGCCGCGAACTGCTAGACTTGGGCCATAGATTACGCTGGGCGCAGCTGCAATCTCTTTTGATCAGGGCGGTTTGACCAGCTACCCGTCCCCATCTGCGCTAGACAAGGCTCTGTTCTGTAGGCATTTGCCCGAGGGGGGAGGAGGGGGCGAAGCAAATGACCGGGGCTCCTACGCAGTTTCCCAACCGAGATCACCTCCACCCCGCTACAGCCGAAAGCGCGAAACTTCGCCCGCCAGGGCGGAACCTGCCGACGGTATATGGCGAATTTACAGTTAAAACTTCGCGACCTATAGGCAGGGGTACAACGATGGGGCCAACCCTAAATAGCCGGGTAAACATTTGCAAGTGGGGGCTCGGCGCTAGAAAAACGGGCTGCGAACTCAACTCCCAACTTTTCCAACACGGATCAAACAGCCGCAGCAACGACCAACTCTTACCAAGCAGCAGCATGGGTTTTCAATATCGGCAAGATGGTTGAGAGGGGGGGGATTTTCGTTGATCGGGTTGTGCCTTTCTGAGTGGGTTACGAGCAGCCTGAGGGAATGTCCATCGAGGGTAGAAGGTGGGTGTCCCCACCCCCCGTATCTACCTCCCATGTCTCTCGCCCCGCCCTGAAAAAGCGGGTTTCGAAAGGCGGGGCGAATGGCGTGAATTTTGCCAGAGGAGGAAGGTGGGGAGGGGAAACAGGTAGTTTCGTATGGGCCAAAACCCACGGGGGTAAATGGCTGTTCTGTGGCCATTTCCCCTCAAACAGGTTCGGAGGGTAAATGGCTGGCTCGGCAACGTCTTACGGGCTGACCGCCTTCCGAACCCAAAAGACTCAGGGAAGCTACCTCTTCCCCTCGCTCCCCCTCCGCCAAGGCCTACAGAACAGAGCCGACGCTACTTTGACAGGCAGTGAAGCCATGCACTGGAAAGTAAAATTCGTTAATGTGAGATCTATCTTCAGATACAGATGTACACGAGTTTGTTACTGGAATGTTTAGGGTGAATATATTAGTGACTAGATGTTGTGGACGACGCTGTTCATACTTCCAAGACAAGAAGTATATTCCTGGTCATCAGTTCAGGTTGTCAATTTCTGGAGTAGGGTCCTCAAATTTGTCATGGCAATATTTTATTTTCACAATTTATTTTCCTCCTTGAAGGGGCCTAAGGGTGCATTCCGCTGTGGACACACGTCCCAATCGATGTGTCCCAATCGTTTCTACCGCACTGCATCGTATTACACCGAATTGCACCCTAGTTTCGAAATTTTCGCGTCTCTGGTTTAGTTAGGTTCGGAGCGGTACACTCGATTGGGACACATCGATTGGGACATGTGTCCACAGCAGAATGTACCCTAAGACTTCTCTACTGTGGCTAGGAGGGATTGTGCAGTTTAAGGCACAATCGATTTCACACTGGAGCAGTGTAAGATGCAGTGGGGTGAGGAAGAAACGGGCAGGCTGATACTGTAGTTGAAGGGGTGAGTGAGTCTGGCAGGGGTACAAGAGAAGACGAGGTGGAGATCGAGGGCGGGGAGTGGTGAGAAGAGGGAAGCGGGGAGGGGTTTAAGAAGAGCAAGATAGATGGTGAGAAAGCGATAGGAAGATGAGCAGGATGGGAAGGGTTTTGGGATGGGGAAGAAAGGAGAAAGAATATGGAAGGTAAGTGGATGAAAGAGAAGATGTTTAAAGAGTGGAGAGGGAATGAGAAGAGGCGGAATGAGAAGAGGAATGAGAAAAGGGGAAGAAGAAGGGGGGAGGAGAACGAAAGATACAGAGAACGAGGGGGAAGAGAACGGGGAAGAGAGCGAGAGGGGGAAGAGAACGGGGAAGAGAGCGAGGGGGAAGAGAACGAGGGGGGAAGAGAAAGAGAGGAGATGAGAACGAGGAGAGAAGAAAACGAGGGGAGAAGAGAACGGGGAGAAGAGAACGAGGGGATAAGAGAACGGGAGAAGAGAACGAGGGGATAAGAGAACGGGAGAAGAGAACGGGGGGAGAGGAGAACGGGGGGAAAAGAGGGCGAAGGGGGAAATGAACGAGGGGAGGGAAGAGAAAGAGGGCCAAGAGAAAGACGGGAAAAGGGAAAAATAGTGGAAGAGAGGAAGAATGGAAAGAGTAAGCGGGGGGGAAGCTGGGATGAAAGAAGAGGGGAGACTTCCTAAAAACGTTAACTATCGTTTTAGACGTTCGAAGCAACGGTAACTAATAGGAACCCCGGCTGCGACTGACTGTAACGGAGCACAGAAGGGGTAGAATAGCGTCAGAAGAAAGCTGACAAAACTGTTGACACGTGAGCGGAAGATCTAATCATCAAGTAAACCGAAATGCTAGCCAGTCTAACCCAACCCTAAGCGTGAAGAGACAGCTTGCATCTCCCTCCCTTCGCGTAACACACAGCCAATATCCGCCACCTCGTTCAGCTCCATCAAACACCAGATCTACAAGAACCAAGTCCTGCAATAACTTAATCCCTCTTGGCCCGCTTGCCACCCTTGGCTGCCTTGGCGGCCTTTCCGTAGTTGCGAATGTGGAAGTCGACGAAGAGGTAGAGGAGCGAGGAGTTGAAGAAGAGGTTGAAGCAGAAAGACTCGAATCCGGCGCATCCAGTCGGCCGGGTGAAGTGGAAGTAGATGAGCGGGAAGGAGACGAAAGTGCCGATCATGAACTGCGAGCATCAATAACAAAGAGTTAGTTCTAGCATTCAATCAATTGTTCGCGAAACCAGAAGAGAAAGGTTCATGATACATGGTGTAGAAAGCATGATGACAGACAAAAAACCGTACCTGAATGATCTGGCTGTTGGTGACGAACATCTTCCAAGGAGGAGGCATGCCGATGCTGTTGACACAAATCGCAGGAAAAAGGCGACGTCAGTTGCCAAGATTCGCGAGAGAGCAATGTACGTAACTTTCTGTTTTCGTACTTTCAGGAACCAACTGGAGAACGACGTGATCGCAACTTCTGATTCCATACCTGTGCATGAAGTAGTAGAAGTACATCATCACGTGGATCCCTGTGTTGATGGTGATGGCGATGACCTGGAGAGACTGCGTGTTCTGCTCACAAAAACAGAAAAGATAACAAATATGAGCAATGCTTTTGTGCCTGTACAGTGGCGATTGTATTGTGCGTTGATCATCTCAGTTAATTAGAGTTTCCTGATCGAATCGTAATTCGTTGCTAGAATAAGGTGGCGTCCCTCGCGTTCGTCTACAGTTGGGCTAGTCCGGTTACTCACGTTATAGATCGGTTCATGAATTTACAGTTGAGGATCGCGTTGTAGATCGGTTCTTGAATTTACAGTTGTGGATCGCAATATACCATGAACACGCGATAAGCCACCAGGACACGACGGTGTAAAGGTAAGAAAATAACTCACTGTTAGCCACAGCCAGCAGAGGAAGACGATGGTTGCATGGTGGTACACGTGGAGAAACGACAGCGGCTTGTTCTTCAGCACCAGGATGACAGTATCCAGGAGCTCGTAGTACTTGCTGAGGTAGTAGATGTAACTCCAGAACCACAGATAACCGACTGGCTTGACGGTTGACGGGAAACAGAGAAGCCACGTATACTTGCCCTGCAAACAAAGAAAAGGAATGCACCGTCAATCACCGAATCTGTCGTGATTTGCTGAAGGATGGCCAGCAATGTACCATGATGCCTTACCATGCCGGTGTCATACTTGTTGATCTCGGAATCCAAGAGCATTGCGTGGATCGTTCCCAGGAACATCGCCAGGGACCAGAGGCACAGGATCAGGTTGTGAATGGCAGGGAGGAAGCCCAGATTCACTGGTGCCATCTTGTTCTTTGTCCGGTACCATTTCAGCCCTAGAATGAACGCGACATAGCCTATACATGTGCAGAGCATCAACGGAAGGTTCGACACCGGCGTCTCATCGACCTTCCACTCGAAAGTCTGCACGAGAGGCTCCGTCGCAGGCCAGACATAGTAGAACGGCGTATCCCTGGACATGGTGGCTGTGTAGTTGGAGGAAGGGGATGCTGCTTGAGAAATAACTTCAGTCTCCACAGTCATGGTGATCAGGCGGCCTTCAGCTGGAAAGATCAAAATAAGGAACAAGGCACTTCAAGTTTCAGGCACTCCAGTGGGAAGCTGGATTCTGTTCAGACTGAGAGGAAGCAACAAGGCTGTGGGGAGAAAAGGTATAGATAGGGCTGGGAGAGATAGGCACAACTCCCATCTTCCGCTAGAAGGCTCGAGCGGAGGAGCCCTCGAATCTACCGGCATTCAGACGGTCGAGATTGGTTGTCGTGTGGCGATCTACGCGGGAGCATGCCACAGCCACAAACCAGAGCTCTGATCGCGGGAACCTCTTGGTGACTGACTTTTGTCTGCCTCAGTTACCGAGCTGAAGAGCACTAAGCCGCTGGTTTTGCTGGTGGTTTCACTAGAGTGTCCAGCCTTGTTCACAGGCTTGGCATGGAGTTTCAGCGAATTACGGCTTTCCGTGTGGAGTATGTGGGGACCGCAGGGACACAACAGCTGGTTTGGCTGGGGCAAACGTGCGGGTTCAGTGAAAGGAAAGCTTGTGACGTGGCACCTTCGAGAACATGATCTAGACCAGCTCCGCCCCGCGCAGGAAGCACGGCCAATGACACCCTGGTTCGGGCCGAAGCGTCTGACAGGGGGGTCTAAGAAAGCAAATCTGGCCAACCACACAGTAGATCCCGTGTGTGACGAGCCTGAACAGGGCGGAGACCTAGTCAGGTTCTTGGGTGGTTTGGACGAGCACCCATGCCATATTTCGATTCCACGACTTCGAATCAATGCAATGAATAAGTGTTACACCTCTAGATACAATATATAGAAATATAGCCTAAAATATGTCAATCACCATGCAGAACATGGAATGGATAGGGTGGCAATGCCTTGGTGCAAGCCTGCTGGGCCGTTACCAGTACTATCTCTCAACTCTGCGAAGGGGAATACATACTACATGCCGCAAGGCTTTATGACCTGGAACACCCAGCCTGTAAGCGAACATCTAGACGCAGTGTACAACCCATACGCATCTGGAGGGTCACATCATTGCGATATATTTACCTGTCACATGTTGCGAGCTGAATTCCACTGCATCCTTAGCCCCCAAATAAGGCTGCGCCGCACTCTTGGCCCGCGTAACCCCCTTCCCTCCCGCCTTCTTCCCCTTCGTCTCTTTCCCCTCCCCAACGCCTGCATCCTTCGCCTTTGCCTTTGCTCCCGCCCCACTCCCGCTCTTCTCCCCAGCCTTTTTCTGCGGCACCTTTGGAGCCGGCGATTTGGGCCGAGGGGCCGACTGTGCTCTTGGAATGGGCGCGGCAGCAGCAGCAGCAGCACCAGGCGGAGCACCAGTTCCGATAGTGGGTTGGAAGTTATACTTGGGCTCTTCCCCCTGAATGTGCAGGTCTTGCACCTTGTGTTGGATGGCAGACAGGCGTGTTGCCACCTCAGCCATGGTCGGCCGCTGGGCGGCGCTTTTTTGGACACACATGACCGCCACATTGGCGAATGCTTTCATCCCTCCTGGTGGGTAGTTGTTTTCCAGGGCCGGGTCAACTACGGATTTGAGCTTGCCTGCTGTGATCAGAGGAATGGCCTGGATGGAGGGGAGTGGAGAGGAGGGAGTGAGATGGTACGTGAGAAAGAGAAATAACTTCAAGTCCACATGTATATCTATGGCAGAAACACCTGCCAAAAAGTGCCTCTAAAATCATCACAGACTTGCAGAAACACCCTCACCTGCCCAAGTGTGAAACACACTCGCACAGGCCAACACACGGAAGCACCCAAACCAGCGGGAATACCCACACATGTGAACCCATACATTCACACACCCCACACTCAACCATTGCATGACTGTGGTGGTGGCCCCTGGCTCCATGGCACTCGCTTCAATGTTGCGCTCGGAGCGCTGCAGCAGCGACGCGACGTTGCCCAGGCCTAAGCCACTCACCGACATACCGGCCAGCAAGCCTACCCGCATACATACAGACCCAACCCATGCACGCACTCACCCATTGCACGAGCGTAGTTGTGGCCCCTGGCTCCATGGCGCTCGCTTTGGCATTGCGCTTGGAGCGCTGCAGCAGCGATGCTACGTTGCCCAGGTTCATCCCTGTCTTCTGGCTCGGCTCTGCTAGGATGGCTCTGCGGCCCGTCACCAGCTCCAGAAGAACAACCCCAAAGCTGCAGAGACAGACGGGCAAACAAGACACGCACACACATATATGAAACTCGTACAAGAGGTGTTTGGGTGCCTCCCCAAAGCAACAATGCTCAGTGCCTCCATCAGGGTGGCAATGCCACATTGCTTAGCCCCCATCCTCGACTTCTGACTAGGTTTCGCCCGCCCAAGATGGCCCGGCGCTCCGTCACCAGCTCCAGCAGCAACCCCAAAGCTGCAGAGACAGACACACATGGATGTGCATATGGGAGGGGGGGTTTGAGGATGCCTCAGGGCTTCCAAGTCAACTCCGGCAGGATACCCATCAGCCTCATTCTCGCCACATGCCGCCCGGGCCGCCCTGACCACTCACTTTCAGCAGCCTCTTGCGTGCTCGCTGCTCACCTGTACACGTCACTCTTGGGCGTGGCTATGTAAGTCCGCGAATACTCCGGGTCACAATACCCAGGGGTTCCCATCAGCCTCATTCTCGCCACATCCCACCCGGGCCCGCCCTGGCCACTCGTTTTCAACAACCCATTCCCTGACACTTACACCTGCCTGTCTCATCCTCCCACACTCACACCTACCTGTCTCACTTACCCTCACATCTCCCACACTCCCACCCTATAATACACCTCTCACTCTCCCACACACGCACCTGTACACGTCACTCTTGGGCGTGGCGATGTAAGTCCGGGAATACTCCGGATCACAATACCCAGGCGTGCCCATCAGCCTCGTTCTCGCCACATGCCGCCCGGGCCCACCCTGGTCATTCGTTTTCAGCAGCCCGAAATCCGCCACCTTGGCCTGCAGATCCGCTGCCAGCAGGATATTCTCCGATTTGATATCGCGATGGATCACGGGCGGGCGGGCAAAATCGTGCAGGTAGCGCAGGCCCTCGGCTGCCCCTACCGAGATGGCGACACGCTCGTCGAAAGTGAGAGGGGGAGGGGGCGCCTTCTTCGGTGCTTCTGTTCAGAGGACGATTAGAAGGAGAGTGGGGAAAGGGCACAAGCATGGGTGAAAACGAGAACCACCGAGGGCAAGATGTGTGTGCAGGTAGCGCAGGTCCTTGGATGCTCCGGCAGAAATCATTACTCGCTTGTCAAATGGGAGAGGGAAAGGGGGCGCCTTCTTGTGCAATTATTCCGTTGAGGGATTTGAGTTGAAGGGAGAGAGAGCGGAAAGGGAGGGTAAAAGCGGGAGAGGAATTGGGATGCGGGATTTGAGGGTGCCGTTGTGCATGAACTCATAGATGAGAATTTGCTTGCGGCCATCTCTCATTGCAAGCATCCCAGCCCATGACGTCCACCTCCAGAGAGTGATGCAGGCACCACGGCATGGTGGATGCAAGAGGAGAGCGTGCCATGGTGCTTGAACTCGCAGATGAGAATTCGCTCGTCACAGTACTCAACTCAGTGCATAACACTTGGTGCATAACATAACACTCGTGGCACGCATACCAGTTGGGACACAGCACTCACCTCCTGTAGGGGATGCAGGCACCACAGCACGGTGGATGCAAGAAGAGAGGGTGCTGTGGTGCATGAACTCGTAGATGCGAATGCGCTCGTCGCACTACTCAACTCAGTGCAGAACACTTTGTGCATAACACTCGTGGCACGCACACCAGTTGGGACACGACACAGCACTCACCTCCTGTAGGGGATGACGGAAACACAGCGCGGTGAATGCGAGATGCGAAGGTGCCATTGTGCCATTTGCTCGTCACACAACGCAAGCAGCCCAGCCCAGACACTCACCTCCAGTAGGGGATGCAGGCGCCACGGCACGGTGGATACAGGAAGCGAGCGTGCCATTGTGCATAAACTTGTTAATGGTCCAGCGCTCGTCACACAGTGCAAGCAGCCCAGCCCAGCCGAGCCCATGAGACCCACCTCCAGTAGGGGATGCAGGCACCACGGCACGGTGGATACGGGAGGCGAGCGTGCCATTGTGCATAAACTCGTAGATGAGAATTCGCTCGTCACAATCCGCCCAGAAGCCTATGAGTCGCACGAGATGCTGGTGGGCCATGCGACTCATGAATGACACCTGGTAGGAGGAATGGTGGCGAGAGGTGGCAAGGGGTAGCAAGGAGTAACAAGGAGTGACAAGAATTGACCGGACTGGTACGGAAGCCTGTGAGGCGCACGAGGTGCTGGTGGGCCATGCGACTCATGAATGACACCTGGGATTAGGAGGGCAGGGCACAGGAGAACTGAGGCAAGGAGTGACAAGGAGTGACAAGGAGTGACAAGGAGTGACAAGGGGTGACAATGAGTAACAGCAATGGCACAGTTGAGGAGCACAAGGAGCTGGTGGGCCATGCGACTCATGAAGGACACATAACACGAGGGAGGACCGGGAAGGGAGAATGGGGGACGGGGGCACTGAATGATATGGAAAGACAACCCCGCCCAAAGCAGCCCTCCCTCTCCTTCCCGATTTTCCTCCAGCTAAAACCCTGCACTCAAAACTATGTCATTACAGCCCAAACACCCAAACCAGCCCACCACACAGCCCACCGCTCTCCACCTTCTGCCATCTTGGGAAATTTGCCTCGTGAGCCTTATGAAGCTCAACCCAACCCAACCCAACCCAACCCAACCAAGCCCAACCCAACCAATCCCAACCCAACCAATCCCAACCCAACCAATCCCAAACCAGCCCAACCTAACGCACCTCCTTCTCAAATTCCTCCAGAGAAGACCCCGACACATTCCCTGCCCGCTTCACTGCCCATATCTCGCCACCTTCACTCCCACCATCGCGCCCAACAATCCCCTTGAAGACCGTGCCATATGCACCCTCCCCTAGCTTCCTCTCAGGGCTCCACGAGTCTGTTGCTGCTAGGATGTCCTTTATAGGAATCTGCCTCACAAGCTTTATGAAGCCCAAACAAACCCAATTCAATCCATCCCAACCGATTCAACCCAGCCCAACACAATCCAGCTCACCTCCTTCTCGAACTCTTCCAAATGAGACCCTGACACATTGCCTGCCCGCTTCACTGCCCATATCTCGCCATTGCCACCCTCCCCACCGCGCCCAACAACCCCCTTAAACACCGTGCCGTACGCGCCCTCCCCTAGCTTCCTCTCCGGGCTCCACGAGTCTGACGCTGCCAGAATGTCCTCAAGGGAAATCTGCTTCACGGGCCTTATGAAGCTCAACCCAGCCCAACCCAGCCCAACCCAGCCCAACCCAGCCCAGCCCAACACAACGAAACCCATCCCACGCCAACTCACCTCCTTCTCAAACTCCTCCAGATGTGACTCCGACTCGTTCCCAGCCCGTTTCACAGCCCATATCTCGCCATCTCCACCCTCCCCACCGCGCCCAACAACCCCCTTGAACACCGTGCCGTACGCTCCCTCCCCGAGCTTCCTCTCAGGGCTCCACGACTCTGTCGCTGCTAGGGGAATTCGAGCCTTAGGAAGCTCAACCCAACCGAACCTAACCCGACCCAGCCCAACACAGGCCAACCCCGCCCATCCCAACTCACCTCCTTCTCGAACTCCTCCAGGTGAGACCCCGACACATTCCCAGCCCGTTTCACAGCCATCTCCACCTTCCCCACCGCTCCCAACAACCCCCTTGAACACCGTGCCATACGCGCCCTCCCCTAGCTTCCTCTCCGGGCTCCACGAGTCTGTTGCTGCTAGAATGTCCTCCAGGGGAATCTGGCTTAGCCTTATGAAGCTACACCCAGCCCAATCCAGCCCAACCCAGCCCAGCCCAGCCCGGCCCAGCCCAGCCCAGCCGAATCCAACTCACCTCCTTCTCAAATTCCTCCAGATGAGACCCCGACACATTGCCCGCCCGTTTCACTGCCCATATCTCGCCATCTCCACCTTCCCCACCACGCCCAACAATCCCCTTGAACACCGTGCCATACGCGCCCTCCCCTAGCTTCCTCTCAGGGCTCCACGAGTCTGTCGCTGCCAGAATGTCCTCCAGGGGAATCTGTTTTGCAAGCCCGCCGCCTGCTGTGAGCGATTCTTGTACCGCATGTGACACAAACGGGGATAGTTCTTGCATGTCTTCGGCGCTTTTGGTTCGGCTGTGGCTGGGTTTCTTGGTCAATCCTTTCCCTCCTCCTGCTGCTGCAGCTGCAGCAGCACCAGTCGCTGCACCCGCTTCCCCACCACCACCACCAGCACCGGCAGCATCAGCAGCAGCACCGGAAGCACCGCCGCTAGCAGCAGCACTACCACCTCCTGTCGTGAACACAGCAGCATTCCTCCTCGGTTCAAACACCACAGTTTTGATCAACATCCCTTCCGTCCACGCCAGCCCTGCACCCACCAACCGCCTCTTCACCTCCTCCCGGAACCCAGGCAGCACCACCCGCAGCAGCAGCGGGCGCTGTGACTCTAACAAACCGGACTCTAACGAGCGTGGCACGCCCAGGTCAGTAAGGAGCATGCCTACAGGCACAACGGAGAGGACTTTGTGGATTAGCAGCTCATCAGGGTCAATCCCTAGCCATTCCGCCAGCCATTGATAGTCCCGGATTCGCTCCAATAGAATCCTTGCTCCCAGCCGCGGCCCTTTCGGAGTTCCTGCTATGGATGCTGCTGCTTCTGTGGGTGCCCCTGGTACACATGTCTTGCTGTCAGCTGTCAGGTTACTCGAGTCAGAGGATAAGTTAGGCGTTACAGCGACTGAGAAGGCCCGCTGGTGGTTCTGCTGTTGCCGGTCAGAGAAAATCGAGTTAGCGGCTCTAGGTGACTTCTGAGTCGAGTCAAGAATCACCTCCGACTGCGTTCGCAGGTGTTGCTGCTTCTGCTGGTTCTGGTTAGAGAAGACAGGGCTAGTGGCTTCAGGTCTCCCTTGGGGTGTAAGTGCTGCTGCTGAGGGGGTAGAGGAGGTGGAAGAAGCAGAGGGAGATTTTCCAGAGGGGGTCGTAACGGACTGCTTAGGGGCGAACAGTGCCCTGATATCCTGAAGCCCGTCATCCCATATAATACAGTCATCCTCGATATTGTCACTCTCGTTAGTGTCAGAGTTGTCGTCATCATCCTCCTCGTATTCCTCTTCTTCCTCTTCCTCTCCCCCCGATATCCGCCTCTCCTTCTCTCCCTCGTTTGATTGACTGCATCCGCTTGAGACCTTTGAAGTATCAAACTCAAATCCAGATCCCCTCCCACTCGCTCCCACTCCTCTTCCTTCTCCCTCCTCTTTCCTCTCCCCACCCTCCTTCTCCCCCGCCTCTCTCCTCTCCAAATACCTCACTTCCTCCCGTCCATCCCTTAACACAGTGAAACTCGCTTCCGTTGCTCCCTCTATTGCTGCTTTCAGTGCCTTCCCCAGGATAGAAAAACGGGCGAGGGAACGAGCATGTGTGACACCAAGACCGTACAGTGACCCCTTGCAGTTTAGGAACAGGCCCTGAATCTCGTCCCCCGCCTCCTCCAACAGCTGCTCCAGAACCGTCAGATCGTCCTCATCCAACGGCGGAAGCGCTGCGGATACTGGCTGGTCCCTGAGATTGCCAGCAGCGGCAAGGAAAGACCAACCTTTTAGTTCTCCTGAAACTTCTGTTGAAACCCCTGGAGCATCCGTAGAAACCCCTTCACCTGACACTTCCCCTGCTACACAGTGGTCACTTTTCTGCTGCTGCTGCCCCTCCTCCTCTTCCTCCTCCTCCTGCAGCTTCGGGAACAGCCTACGGCAGCGAGAGACTTCCAGAGACGCACACATTGCAAAGACGCGGATAGGAAACAGCGAGGCTCGTTGGCTTACTCCCTGTTTTGATGAAGAGAGGATGAATAATGAGGTATTGTTAACTTAAGAGCTGGGGAGGGGGAAACGGAAAGGACGATTGACGCGGGAATGCATGGCGCGTGAGTGTGTCCCCACAGCCTCCCTTCCCCGACTCCCAGAACCGGAAAGTCTAATCCAATGCCACGTAGACTGCATAGCTCACCTCTTCCATCTTATCCATTGCCACGTAGACGTCTTTCGCCAGGTCCTGCAGGGCCTCGTCCAGGGACGCTATGACGTCAGCAGCGGGCGGGAAACCATCCGCCAGCGCGGAGACGAACTGCGCGTTATACATGAGCACCGCGTCCTGCACTGACGCGTACAGCGCTTCCCACTGCTCCCCCTGGGCGGGACTCAGTTCCGCTGTTGCTGAGGAGAGAGGGGAAGGGAAGCAGGATGAGGAGGGCAGCGGAAAGGCGAAGGGAAGGGAAAGGGAGATTGGACGAGAAAGTGGATACGATTTGGTAACCTTGGGGGGGTTTCGGGAGTGCTAAACACGAGCGCGGAGACGAGCCGCGCATTGGTCCTGGTTTAAAAAGTAACGAGCCCATACAAAATGTACCTGCGACGTCGAGAGTCGACAGCGGAGCTGTCTGAGCCGAAGGAAACCCTTTCACGGGTCCCGAAAATCCCCAGTCGCCAGCAGCCGCAGAGCCCTCACTCGCGGAGGATGGCACCGGCATGACAAAAGACATGGTCGACGAAGATAACCCATTTTCGGTCTTATTATTTTCGCCGAATCTTCGGCCGAAGCCGAAGCGACCGCCGAGCTGAGGGCGAGGCGAGACGGAGATGCTGTGGGAGTTTAAGCTCGACGGTATAGGAGCCACTAGGCTATGGCTCGCACAATTTATTCGGTCCTCTGAAAGGCTGTCCGCACTTAAGTGTTTCGACAGGTGGGCCTTGGGACCGGAACCTTCGGAAAAGGCTCCATCTGAGAGTACGGCACATCCGAAAAAAAAAAAAAAAAAAATCTCTTTAGAAAACGGCGAGAGGAAGCCACTGCAGCGACTAAACACGTTAAAACGGGTACGGCGAGAAAAGAAGTAAAAAAAGTAAACTGGAAAAGTTGTGGAACATAGACGTAGTCTAGGACAAGTAATAAAACTTGTGAAGCACCTGGAGTGTTCAAAGCTTTCCAGTGATCAAGTTCTTCCAAACACGCGTTCAGGACGCTCAAGATGCGATCACATTTCCACGTCGCTCGCGACGAGTGCTTGTCGCATGGCAGTTCCAGTTCACGGTCCTTAAACGCATCTAAGGCGGAACCTAGAGCTCCAAAGACCAAGTCGACGAAGGCAGTCGGACATGTGACGTCGTTTGGCTGAGGTGAACCAACTATCCCCAAGCACCGCTTGGGATTTCCGAACCCATCCGCAAGAATGTGAGCGAACGACATGGCGGAAAAAAAACTCCTGCCAAGCCGGAATATTGCGAGCCTAGCACCTACATACACATGCTCTCTTATCCCTGCTGATGCAAGTCCACGAAGCGACTCGAGTAAAACAGCATGGCTTTGGCAAACGAGGAATTTGTGAAGGCGGAAATGAGGGCTGCTTGTTCGTTGCTCGTCAGGCTCCAGGTTCTTGGGATGTCACCCTGGCTCCAGGTGACAGTGGAGGGAAACACAAGAACAAAAATCGTCATAGTACAGTTCAGAAGTGTCCTGTAACACCGATAATTGTAGCATGATTTCTTCGTCACGGAAGTTCCGTGCTCAAAGCCTTGCTGCTCCACGAACATTGCTAGAAGTGAATTCACGGCTGGGTGTAATCAGCGTCGTGGGCTTCTTCGCTATAAGCACTGAGCGGAACGAAGTTTATGTGCCTGCCGTGCCACAGAACCAGCGCTCCAGGCGGGATTTTTCGAGGCTTGGAAGTGCAGGTTCACCTAGTCCGCGGTATTTTAACCGCCGCTATCTTAACCACGCGAGGGTACTTCTCCTTTATCAAACTTATTTAGTCGGGTTGTTTCAAACTTTACAAGGGTAGAATATAGCATTCCCTTCGCGAGATGACAGCAGAAAAAACTCAGTGAATGCCGAGTGTGACAAATGTCAATCCGTCTATCTTGGAGCACTAAGTGTGAGTTCCTTAGACGGAAGTGCTTTCGGCTGCAAAATCGTAGCCTTGATGACTCTGGGCGCTAATAACATTACCCAGAAACGAACAAAGGAGGTTTGAAAGAACAAAGTTCACCTGGTTAAAATACCGCGGACTAGGTGTTTTCTGCGTCAGATTCGGCTCTGGTGGTTGACAATGAGGCAAGGAGGAGCAACGGAGAGCTTGAACCATACCTGCTTTGGCTCGGCTTTCGGTCCGGAAACGGTATGGATGGCGGGGGCAGCAGTATCTGGTGCTGGGTTCGATAGAAATTCATGGCTAGTGTAGGGAGCCCCCTGTCGAGAAAATCGATGAGACTTCTGGCGATTGAGTGACGCGTTTCAAGGGTTGCGTGTGGCCAAGGCTACCCCAAAGCATCTGGGTAATGCGTTTCAAGTTTGGGCCAAGCCTTCACCTGACTCCGAGCCTTCTAGTAGGTTCGTGAAGAACACTCGGCAAAACGGAAGGGTTCATTCCCAAAGCTAGGGTTTCGTGTACATAACCTTTTGGGCCGCTCCTTGACCCTGGTTAGTCATGGTAGAGCAGTAGTACTTTCAGTTCCATTCCGTTGGAGTTCTTTCATCCTTCCCCTGCTCACTGCAGGTTTCCTGAAGGTAGGTCTTAATCTATTGTTCAGCGGTCCCTAGAACGCTTTTACCCTGCAAACAAGTAATATATGCAATTGCTTGACGAAGCTTACCGTGTATTGTTTACAACAGATGGCTGTCTCTTCTGCTTTTGTCAACGGTGACGGTGAAGAATCATCAGGCGAGGACCATCCACTTTGAAGACGTCTTTTTATCGTCATGGAAGATGGGTTTGTTGATTATATATGTTTTTCTACGTGGCTTCCTGTATTGTTGTATATGGTATATCGTCTCTCTTCGTAGGAGCTTGTGCTTGTTGTCTTTGCACCTTTGCCCTTATGGGTGCGCTTACGGGGCGGGTGCCGAGATTAATGGAAATATTTTCTGTCGGAGGGCGAAGCTCTCCTTGTTTGTGTTAGGTACGGTAGATCCGTGCCTGTGCCGCCCGTTATTTCCCCCTCTCGACCTTATTGTGTGACCCGCCAAGCCATCATGAACCACACGCAGCGTTGGGCGCTGGCAATTCGATGTGGCGCAAGTCCATCAGCCATTTTGAGCAATATGATTGCTGACAGGTCCATTATCAGCATAACGACGCGTGGAGGGCATGTCCATCAGCCATTCTGAAGTCCATCAAATCTCGTCCACACTTGAAAGCGATTGAAGAAGCGCCACACGACCTCGGAAGAAGCTCAAGTTTCTACATTAAGACGTTGTGAAGCTACCATTTCTGACGAAAGACGATTGTTGGGTACATACTTGTACTGATACTGCCAGTGTAATGGCGAAAAGAGGATGAGCATGGATTTATGTTTCCGCCCTCCATGCCATACGTTTAATGGTGTACGGGGGCATCGTAAGCCAGTTCTTTGTTCAAATCTAGGAAATGGTGCAGAAATTACTTATGTGGCTTTTTTTCTGCAGGCTGCGTGACATCCTGGTTGGATCTACAATGTTTCATCTGCATTCCAGGTGGGCGTCATAACTTTTGCTATCTAGATACCGCCTGATTCTTGCAACTGTTTTCACGTATGACTTCGTACCTAAAACGGTTTGAAATCATGGTACCTGGCTGGTTCATGCTATTGAATCTTGCTGCAAGCATTCACTGCACTAGTGTCTGTCAGTGATTCGCCTGGTAGCCACGTGATCTGCCTATGCCCTTCGGCCCTCCTGCTCCACTATCGCGCTTAGTTGCTGCCGGATTCCTGATTTGATTTGTAAGAAATTGTGAAGCTGATATAATCATCATTTCCGTCATTGGCAGCAATCCATCTCCCAGTGACAGGGTAGTGGAATGAGACTATCATAATTTCCATCGTTTGGAGTTGCAACTTGATGGAATGGTATGCCATGAGAAGTGAGTGTCGTGTATTTGATGGTAATGCCCAAGTAGAAGTAAATTCGAATTAGCTTGTGTTGGTATGAACTGGCGTTGAGCACATTTGGCATGCATTTTGTTGAATGCTTTTAGGAGAGTTCAACGTGTAAACCGTTCTCAACCCCCCTGAATGGTGGTGGGGGTGTAGTCCAGCTTGACGTGTGTCATGGTTTGGACCTCGGTTCGCCTTTCAAGCCTGGCATAGCTGGATGGTTTGGAACGAAATGATTAGTCTGCATGAGTTGGGGTTTTCGTGGTTTGCCAGTCCCTTGGCCAACAAGGCATAATGTCACCGAGCTTTATTGGTGGGGCAACGGGAAAATGTTTTCTTGCGTCACTGGAATTGTGAAATCAGTTTCGATACTGTTCGTATATTCGACTTTTCCAACACTTTTCGACACAATAAGATCTCTGAAAACATTTCGGGCAGCCCACATAATGATGTCAGACTAGGTTCGCCCGCTTCAAACCTTCCTCCAGCTCACCAGAAAGTCTCGAACCTCGAAAGCGGCTCGTCAAGCACGTTCGCCATGCCGCGCAACTCAGGCTCGTCAGTCAGTTCTTTCGGGGTCAGAGAGGTCCGCTCACGCCACAGCCGAGGGTTTTGTTTCGATGAGTCCAAGGGAGAGGTTCCCAACTTTCCCAGCACGGCAGGCAACAATTAATAATGGGAAGAGGTTGTCAGGGTCATTGTATCCACCAGCATCCAGGATCTTCGCTTTTCTTAGGGTTTCAGGATAGTGACGAGTACTCAGAGCTCCAACAGCCGTGGCGTTCGTCGTCTTCTGTATGTCGGCATCGTGAGTTTATGAGCGTGAGTTGTTCTCGTCTTCATGGAAACTGTTTCTGTGTTAGGGTTGTTCTGTGTCAGTTGGTTGGCAGGCGCTTTCTTGGAGCAACAAGCAGCAGGGCGAGGGACGAGCATCCATGGGGGTTGTCAGTTCTGAAGACTTATCAACCTCTTCTGTGACGCTTGGTTTGTGATTGTAGATATCAAATTATCTATCTTCTCTGTATCTTGTACTTGTGCTTAGCTTAGGACCTTGTGGTTGTTGTCTTTGCACCTTGCCCTTATGGGTGCGCTTACGGGGCAGGTGCCGAGATCAATGAAAGTATTTTCTCTGGGAGGGCTAACCCCTCCTTGTGCGTGTTTGGTGCGGTAGACCCGTGCCTCTGCATGCTTGCTTCGTTGCCTTTGTCTTGATCTATGCCTCTTTGACGACTTCCAAAAGGAACACGTGAGACGCGGAAATTTACCGTCTTCATGTGGTATACGACTTGGAGGGTCTCTTGAACGTGGCGATACTACACGTGAAGTCGTTATCTGGCACATGGAGTCACTCTCGCGCCTGGAATCGAAACAGTGCTTTTTCTACTGGTTGTAGTTTTACTTTAACAATATGTATTCTTCCCATAGTTACCAACATGTGTTTTTCTATGCTGATTACAACATTGCGAATGGACTGTCATGTGTTACACTTGTAGCTACTCGATTGTTTTCAGTTTCACTGTCTTCATTGCAGGACGAAGTTGCAGGCTTTTTTCCATGTGGCACCAGTGGGTATTTATATTGCTTCTATGTTGAACCGTTAGTACTTCATCAGGTCAGGGTGATTGCTTCAGTGTTAATTTGTGTTGCCCCTCTACATATCAATATTTCCCCATGTTTAATCTTAATACCTCGTCATTTCGAGCAACCAGAGAAAGTCCTGAACTGAACCGACATATCGTGCCAATTGCCTTCAAGCTGTCCAGCCAAACACAGAACTCGGACGAGCAGCACTTCCCCCGCCTCAACCAACCAACAGTCCCCTGTCACACTGTGTTGACTCAGCACTGCCGACGGTCTTTCTCTGCGACCTACGTGGCTGAAACACAGCCAATCCGAGTGTTTGATGTTCTGTAGGACAAATTTCCGCGTAGCTGGGGGAAAAGCGGAAGGTATCCCCAAAGTGATGTGGAAAGGTTCCTTGGGGCTAGTCGGCAATGCTTGGCAACTCTGAAGTAGGCCTGTCGATTTTCGGGCATATGACCTTAATGCCCTGAAATTCCGGGCTACTTTCGCTCCAGCTCGACTGCATTAAGTGTTAGGAACGCCCTGCACCCATGCCACTAAGTGTTTCGTACGACCCTCCCCGGATGCGTTAAGTGTTCCAACCAGGCCTTCCCCACCCACAAAGTTTTGATTTCTGGTTCTAGGACCGCCCCCCCAAGAAATTCTGCCTGACCCCACCCCACCCCCTCCTACTCCTTAGGTTGCACCGGAGCGCGCCAAGGGGATTTTCCCTTAGCGTTTTCTAGCCAATCCCGTGTTTGTGATATCTCTAAGTCAGCTTTGGACCAGCCGAACTTTCCCTTAGCTAAGATAGTGTAAGTGCAAGCCCGGATATCAAGTTTTCACTTTGGCCTGCGCCCGTGACCGTTAAGGGCGCCAAAACACTCAGCTACGGCCAATAGAGGGTCAGATAGGGAGGAGCTGGGGACTCCAAGTATGGGCCCCAGGAATTTCGACAGGCCTGCTCTGAAGCCACCGCGTCACGTTTGGGGGAGGAACCCAGGAGACGATTGGTGGTGCACTACGGTGTCACACCTATATGATTGGTTGGTTCCCCAATGGGTCCCCGAATCCCACGATGATCCCCCAAACCCCCACCGCCAAACCCCTTCCTCGTCCTCTGTTCCTCGTTCAGCCAGGTCCTACCTGGACTATAAAGCGTACTGTACCTGGTCACTTTCTTCTCCGCCGAACCTAAATGTCGACTGCGCCGAACCAGCTGATCTTGACCCTGACTGACCAAAGGAAGGAACCTGGCTGTCATTTGCCAAAAAAGCGCATCTTGGGTGCGGTCCTGCGAAAATCGCCACGGGCAAATGGAGCTGCGAAGCATATGGTTACCGTCGTGGTTCGGAACTATGGTTGAGAACAAGACAACCCATGTTTCACGCCATGGATTTTATCCCCACAGATGTATGGATCGAACCAGCTGGGACATGAAAAGAGCTTTCGAGACAAGATCAGCAGTAGCATCGGACGAGAATGATCAGCTGACATGTAGAGATAATCCCTGCTGGTGGACGAGAGAGACCAAGAGAGATACTGACTGAGGGGTTTGGTTGTGACTACTGTAATGCTACACCCTGTTTCGCGCTAGCAGAGCATCTGGTTGCAGAACATGCACTGGTTGTAGAACGTCACCACGTTTGAAATGGTCTTATCACCGACGGTACAAGCACATTCACAAGAAAGCGGTTAGCTAGGATGCTGCATGGTAAAGAGCATTAACCAAGCGTTTTAAAGCGGTTGAAAAGGGTATACAGCGATAAAGGAAAATTTTGCCCCCAGGACCACTCGTCAGCTGGTGCGGCTTTGCCCGCAGGTTTCAGCCATACGGTTTATGGCACCTGACCGCACTGTAGCAACGAATCGCGCAAGGTAAGAGGGTCGAGAAACAGGGTGTAGTTGCATCTTTCAGCGCCTTCTTGTTCTGGTTCTGTCCATCTGTATGCTACCGCTACGCGTCTTCCACGTCATTCTGCTTAGTTTTCAAGTTTTATGAGCCTCGTTGTCACGGGAACGGGTTCTGACGTCAAGAAATTGGACGTTAACTCGGGTGATTCTCCATAATTCCTCGAAGCCCTGGCTCCCATTATTTTAACCTTCAGTTTTCCACAGCATTTCTACCTTCGTAACCTCCTAATATTTATGCAACAATGGACGCCGATTTAGCCCCGGAAAGACTCACCATCCCCGACAGAGGCGACGACGAATATCCAACAACCGTCGTGCAATGCTTTCCATGGCGGTCCCCGTACCCAATTTCCTCCTCGCGTTTCAGCCCTCGCGATGACCCTGCCTCCTCTCCGACAAGTCAGTATACTCGCGACGACTCCTCGCGCTTTCGTTCAGGTTTTCATCCGCCGAGTCCGCGGCTCGTGCCGGCTTGCCTAAATCCCCCGCGGGTATTTTCGCACGGCGCGAGCGCCGGCACGACGCAATTTAATCGCGTGCTCGAGGTTCTGGTCTGGCAGCGATGGACTCGTCGCAGGGCGACATGCGACTCTGTCGCAGAGCCGGGTAAGCGACACGGTGACGGTTTAACGGAGACGCTACAGTCAACGACGACGACAACGACGACAACGACCCGACGTGCGACGCGCGGTAATGTCGTCGGCGCGGACAGAAGGAGTGCAATAACCGGACGTGGTGCGTTTATCGTGCAAGACGGCAGCACGAGCACGAGCACAAGTGCAAGCAGTGGGGCCAGCAGCAGCAGCGCCAGCGGCACGAGCAACACCCCGAGCACGCAGCTTACCAATCGCCAGGATGATTATAACCATCATACCTCATTGCGGGAACCCATGGCAGACCTCCGCGCGTCTAATCACGGAACGGTGACGTGTGAGCGAGTCGTGCGGATTGTGACCCAGGCGGAGAACGCGGCAGCAGCGGCGCAAGCGCCGCATGTGACGCAGTGCAGCGCTCGAGCGGAAAACGCGCCGGTGTTCGAATTGAGTCAGGTGACTCAGTTACCCTTCAGCCAACGCTCTAGTCAGTCGGAGCGCTTTCAATCGCTGAGGGTCAGTCTGACTGCGTCCGCGCACGTGGTTCCGCCAACCACTGCCTCTGCCTGCGTCCCTTCCGCCGCCCCCGCGCCTGCGGCCGCGGCAGTCACGGCCGCGCCTGCCAGTTTCCTCTGCTTGTTAGAAAAACGACAAAAATGCCACAGCAAGCACTCGCCGTCTGTAGCGCCGCTACAGCCGCAGGCGGTACAGCCTGCCGGCCTGGTACGTGCGCCGGATTGCGCGCTGGCGGAGGACGCAGGGGAGCACGCGCACTCGGCGGAGGAGCTGGGGGAGCGCGCGCAACTGGCGGAGGGGCAGTTAGACCTGGCGGAACTGCAAGCGCGGGTGGTGGGGTCGCAGCTGCAGTTGCTGCGCGGATTGCTGGCGGAGCGGGAGGAGCAGGTCCGCGTGGTGATGGCGGAACTGGCGGGCATGCGCGCACGGGTGGTCCGCGCGCGCAACGTGGCCGAGCAATCCCCGCGCGGAATTTGCAGGAGCCGTAGCTCCGCGCAGGGTAGGTGCGCAGGCGGGAGCGCCGCGGACACGGAAGAAACGACCGGCGCAGGGAAAACGGGGTTCGCCGCGGGAGGATCGGTGTGCGGGCGGAAAGAGGCAGCAGAGAATGCGGGAATCGCGAGAATCCGCGGAAATCAGGGTACGCGTAACTGCTACACGGGTAGGGCCTCATTCTCGGTGCCGGCGAGTATGGTGAGTAGCAGACGGGCAAGCACCGACAGACGGCCAGCGGAGGCGATTCAGGCATTGGCGGAAAGTCATGCCGCCGCGGCCGCCGCCAGCGCCGCCGCTGCTGGTGCCACTGGTGCTGGTGGTGGCGATGGTGAGGCTTCTGCTTGCGTATTGGAGTGTCTAGAGGCCGCGGCGGAGTTGCAGCAAGTGGAGATGTCTGTAGCGAGTACGGAGGCGTGGCTGTGGGAGGTAGAAGCAGCGGCGGCCGAGGCGCGAGACGTGTTCCTGCATGCAGAGGAGGAGACGGCGGCAGCGGCGGCGGCGGTGGGGGCGGCGCGGGCGGCGGGGGGAGGAGAAGCAGCGGTAGGAGGGAAGCGCGGCGGCAGGGCGATACACTCAGGGGGGTTTCGACATGAGCTCGCGCTCTCGGAAAAAGCTTTTACCGAGGAGCTCTATAGGCGGTTGGCGCAGCTACAGGCGGATTTGATCGAAGCGGGGGAGGGAGAGAGAGTTCTGCAGGGGATCTTACAGGGGCTGGAGGGGTCGAAGGGGACTGTAGGGAAGCTGCTCTTAACGGGGATGGATGGGTGCGGGGGATGGGACGGAGGGGAAGGAAGGAACGGAGGGGACGGACGCGATGGTGATGATGGAAGGGAAAATGGCATGGAGGTAGAGGAGCAGAAGGGCCTGAGTTTCTGGGATAGGATCAATGGAGATGCGATTCTGAAGGGGAGTGTGGAGGATATTGAAAAGGGCTGGCAGGGCAAACAGAATAATAATGTAACGTCTGACGGTTTGGGCTTTTATCGGGCTCACAGAAATTGTGCTGCTGACAGGGACTGGATTGACAGGGAGGATTGTGCCAAGGATGTTAAAGTTCTGTGGGGTTCATGCGGTGTCAAGTCAACTCTTGTACAGTCGCAGCAGCAACTGTTGCTGCAGCAGAAGGAGCAGAAGGAGAAACAGGCTCAGCAGCAGCAGCAGCAGCAGCAGCAGCAGCAGCAGCAGCAGCTGAAGCAGAAACTGCAGCAGAAGCAGGTGTGGGACGCAGGGGTGCATGCCAACTGTCAGGAGGATTATGAGGAGGCGCTGATTCTGCAGCAGGCACTGGAGTATCTGAAGCAGCAGCAAGTGCCAGCTGTCGCCTGCTGACAACGCGAGTGCCACCTGTCAATCCCCGTCAATGCAAGTGCATGTGTCACTAGCGCAAAGCATGCATACAGCAGCTTCTGGGTGGAATCAAAACTGGAAAACTTCAGGCTTGCTGTGGCTAGTGGGCGGGCACTTGAGGATTATGATTATGGGTGGCCTTTTGGGGGATCATGATGATACAATCTTGATGCCACGTGCAGCTTGCTGTGGCTTATGGCACTGCTAACTCATCATGAGGCAGGAGGAATATGTTACGAGGAGGCTCCGACTCTGCAGCACAGGCAGATACATGCTCACAGATTTGCTGGAAGAGGCAAATGCAAGCTGGTGCATGCTAATTTGCTAATGAAATGCATGCAGCAGCTCACTATGTAGATAATATATATTTACTATGTAGATAATATATATGTTGGCACCAATCCTTTTGTGATGCGTAAAACCAGCTTATAACGTGTAACTTGTCGGCGTGAAACGCGCTGATGTCACGGACGAGTTGCGTATCAACCCGTCATTGTAAACAAACTCCGTACGCGGTTCGAAATGTCAATGCACCTGGACATTCCACAGTAAAAATCTCGCGCGGGAAAAAATTCCGCTCGTCAAAACCCCACCCGAACCAGACAGTTGAAGAAACAGGTGTTCAGTCAAGTTTGAAAACCAATCAAATGAGCACAGCTGTAAATTGGCAAATGTGATTGGTTTTTCAAGTTTGTAAAATGCTACAGTACCGTATCTCGTTTCCTAAAACATGGGTGTGGTACTACTTATTTTGCCTATTTACCAGAATAGGCAATCCAGGACTTGCTTCCTGTTCTTGAATCCACAAATCATCATTGCCAACAATTACCCTACGGTTTTTCCCCTTCTTAAGGATATTAGAACATTCATCACACCGTTTCGTCCGTTTCCTCTTCAGCACCCTTACTCACACCTCTCTATCAACCACCTCCCCTTAGTCACCACCTTCCACCATCCCACCACCACCTCGGCCTTGCCGGCAGCAGCAGCAGCCATGGCATCAGCAGCCACCTACCCCTTTTCCTCCCAATCACCTCCCTCCTCCCAATCCCTCCACCTCCCTCTCCAAATCCTCCCTTCCAACCAGCCCTTTCCCATCCGGGTCACCTCCCCTTTCCAAACCATCCCTTCCTCCTCACAATCACCTGCCCCCTCCCCACCAGCCTTTGCCTTTCCCAGCAGCAGCAGCAGCCTGCTGCCGCTGCAGCAGCTCCACCTCCCTTTCCCCATCCGCCATGCCCAGCCAGCCCTTCCCCCTCCCAATCACCCCCCCCCTCCCTCTCTGAATCACCTCCCACCTCCCCACCACCCCTTTCCTTTCCCCGCAGCAGCAGCAGCAGCCATGGCATCAGCAGCAGCCTGCTGCCTCTGAAGCAGCTCCACCTCCCTCTCCCCATCCGCCATGCCTGCCAGCCAGTTTCTGAGGCACTATATCATCATATCACTCCCGCCTCCCTCGAGACCAGGCCTTTCTTTCCTAACTGTATCACCTCCCCCTCTGCCCACCTACCCTCCCACATTACATCAACTCCTCTACCACATTTTGTCACCTCCCCCCTCCCCACCAGCCCTTGCCCTTGCCGGCAGCAGCAGCAGCCATGGCATCAGCAGCAGCCTGCTGCCTCTGCAGCAGCTCCACCTCCCTCTCCAGATCCGCCATGCCGGCCAGCCGCTGCCGATACTCTGCCACCTCCACCTCCAGCCGGAAACACCGTGCTTGTTCGGCTGCTAGCGTGGTACGTGCTGTCGTCAGCTCCTGATAGGGTTCGGGTGGGTTGGGGTAAGGGGAGCAGGAAAAAAAAACAGAGTAAAAAGAGTAAAACTGAGTGAAATGGGGCTTAAATGTGTGCAGGAGAGGCTGCAGCAGCTCCACCTCCCTCTCCAGATCTGCCATGCCTGCCAGCCGCTGCCGGTACTCTGCCACCTCCACCTCCAGCCAGAAACACCTTGCCTGCTCCGCTGCCAGTGCTGTTCTCGCAGTAGTGAGTTCCTGGTAGGGTTGGGAGTGGAATCAGAGGGGCAGGGTGGGGTGCGCGTGCGTGGGGTAGGGTGGGGTGTGTGTTTAGTCTGCCACATCCACTTCCAGCCGGAAGCACCGCACTTGCATTGTGGCCAGGGTGGTTTTAGCTGTTGTTTTTTAGTCGCCTCAAGAATAGGCTCCGTGGCCAGGGTGGTTCTGACTGTTGTCAGCAGGTGACTTTTGCGTCGACTCAAAAGTCACCTCGTTTTGAGGCACCTCAAAAATAGACTCTGCGGCCAGGGTGGTTCTGGCTGTTGTCAGTTCCTGCTTTGGGAGGGGGAAGGGCAGGCAGGGGCGGTTACCCAATATGTTCCCTGCCCCAATATTGGGCAGGCAGGGGCAGCCCAAAATGTTCCCACTGTATACCTCATCCCTCCTCCCTCAACCCACCCAATCACATCCTACTCCCCCACACCCCACATTAGGGTTGAGCAAAAAAACGAACACCGTTCGAGGCGAACCGAACAGGTTTTTTTTTTTGGCTTAAAATGTTCGCCGAACAGTGTTCGATGTTCGCCCGAACACGTTCGTGTTCGGGCCGCTGCTACAATTTGCCCGCGACGAACACGAACAGTGTTCGAGGTTCGCCCGAACACGCCTTCACAGGCGAACGGCGAACACCATTTTTTGCTCAAAGTGTTCGCCGAACCGAACAGTGTTCGGTTCGGCAAACGAAGGTGTTCGTGTTCGCCACTTGCTCATCCCTACCCCACATCCCACATCCCACCTGCCCCACATCCCACCTGTTCCATATCAGCCAGGGCGTTCCTCACAGCAGCATATTCCTTCTGCAGTGCCGCCATCCCCCTTGCATTCACCCAATATGTCCCCACCATCCCACGCCCCACCATATCCCACCGCGTCCCATCCCACCACACCCCATCACATCCCACCTGTTCCATATCAGCCAGAGCGTTCTTCACAGCAGCATAGTCCTTTTGCAGCGTTGCCATCCCCCCATCCGCCCCTGACTTCTTGGCAAGCTCCGCCTCTAGCTCGTGCACCTGTGGGGTGGGCAAGGGTGGTAACACATGTGAATACATGATGGACAAAGAAACAATTTGAGACAGTCATGGCTCAGTAGGGAGGCATCTCCCTCCATCCGCCCCCGACTTCATGGCAAGCTCTGTTAGAATTGACTTGATTAGGAATCATGAGGGTTTACATAGTGGAAGCTAGGGGAGGGGGGGTTGGCTGGCTACCTAGCCAACATTATTGGCCCCCCACCAATAAGTTGGGTTGGAGAATTATTGGGGGGTCCCAATAATGTTGGCCAAAGGTGGGCCAAAGGTGGGCCAACATTATTGGGGGGGCCAATAATCTCCCAACTCAACCTTGGAGGCCAATAATTGGACCAAGGTTGGGTTCCAACCCCCAACTAGGGTTAACCCTAGTTGTGCACCCAAACATAGTTTGGGTGCCTATCTCTATCCTAGGGTTTATAGGATCAATGCAGGATACAGAAGAGTAGTATAATCTAACAAGCTCAGCCTCTAGCTCGTGCACCTGTAGAGTGAGCGAGGGTGGTGACATTTGTAGATACATGATTGGCTCAGTCTAAAGCCACGATCAATAAGGTCATTTCCCCCCAACCCCCCATCCGCCCCTGACTTCTTGGCAAGCTCCGCCTCCAGCTCATGCACCTGTGGGGTGAGGAAAGGGAAACAACAAGGATACACCCATAATGACTCGAGTCCGCTGCCCCTTAACCCCTAGTCTCTCACGGTACCAGGTACAGCATACCCATGCCACCAATACACCCTTCCCACTATCATCTGCCCACCTTTATTCTGCAATCGTTCAGGTCCTTCCTAATCTGCCCCGCCTCTGCTTGCGCGCTAGCGGAGGCAGCCTGGGCCGCCACGACCTTGGCCTGCCCCTCCGCCATCTCGTCCTCTGCCTCCTTTAACCCCATACCTCTTACCAGACAAAGACCCCTCCCACTCCCAACTTCTCACCTTTATTCTGCAGTCGTTCAAGTCCTTCCTGATCTGCCCTGCCTCCGCCTGCGCGCTAGCGGAGGCAGCCTGGGCCGCCACCACCTTGGCCTGCCCCTCCGCCATCTCATCCTCCGCCTGCTGCTTCGCCTTGATGGCTGTTGCTAGCTGCTGCTTCAGCAGATCCACCTCCATCTGCGCCTGCAGAAAGCAAAGGGAGTGTGTTGAGGGTAATCAAAACCTCCATCTGTCTGCTTCGCCTTGATGGCCGTTGCTAGTTGCTGCTTTAACAGGTCCACCTCCATCTGCGCCTGAAGGAGGGGTGAAGGGAGTATAGGAATGGAGAGCGGATGGATGGATTCAGTATGCCCCTTCGCCATCTCATCCTCTGCCTGCTGCTTCGCCTTCACTGCCGCCGTCAGCTGCTGCTTCAATAGATCCACCTCTATCTGCGCCTGTAGAGGGCAAAGGGAGTGTATTGAGGGTAAGCAACACCTCCATCTGTCTGCTTCGCCTTGATGGCCGTTGCTCGTTGCTGCTTCAGCAGATCCACCTCCATGTGCGCCTGTAAAGGAAGGGAGGGGCGGAGGGACACGAGGAGTGGACGGGGTGTCGACGAGAGAAGGAGCGCGGACCCGATCTCTCTTTCTATTTTTCTTGGAAAACTTCCGAAATACAGCACAACATGTCTACACATGCATCCAGTTCACAGGGTGGGTTTCGCGGGCGAAGGCACAGCTGCATGTGATTATGCTGGCAATGGCGGGAACAGGGGGGCCGGAGAAACAAAGCTCTCTGGCACGTGCTTACCTTGGCAATGGCAGCCCATGCATCTGCACGTGCTTACCTTGGCAATGGCAGCCCATGCATCTGCACGTGCCTCTGCGGCGGTTTGGCTCGCTTCGGCCCGTGCCTGCCAGGAGAAGGGGGTGGTGGTGGGGGAGGAGAAAGATTCTATATTTGAGCGCCCGCCCTAAGAAAAGGCAGAGTATGCATCCGGGCGTGCCTCCGCAGCCGTTTGGCTCGGCTCGCTTCAGCCCGTGCCTGGGGGGAGAGAGGGGGAGGAGAATACGGGAACGGAATGGAGTATCGTGAGAGAGAGAGAGAGAGAGAGAGAGAGAGAGAGAGAGAGAGAGAGAGAGAGAGAGAGAGAGAGAGAGAGAGAGAGAGAGAGAGAGAGAGAGAGAGACCAATGAGGCCTTGGCGGCGGACGAGCTCGGTTTTAGAGGACCCGTCATCCCTCTCAGTGAGGGTCAGCTGCACCAGTTGATTGAGGCCCCGTTCGACCAGTAGGGTCGGACAGGGGGGGGGGCAGAGTAGGTAGGGGACTTGGAATAGTTAGGATGCCGGCTTCCTGTTGAGCTTGTGCTTGTGTGTTTTGCACCTTCCGTTGTACCACCCCCCAAAGAAATGCAAGGACCATTCGAGAGAGAGAGAGAGCACCAAAGACACGAGAGAAACTTCTGCTGCTTCAGCAAAGTAGTCATGGCTAGCAGCAGCGCTCAAAAGTTAACCTTTATCTCGACTTAGAAGACTTACATTGAGTGCCACCTTCTCTGCTCTGGTCGCGGCTGCTTCTGCCTCCTCTAGCTGAGCCAGCAGCACCGCATCCCTCGACGTGGGGGACAGCTCCCCTCCATCCTCCACCCCCACCACCACCCCTGCTCCTGCTGGCAACGGCGGCCCAAGCCCAGGCACTGGAACAGCAGCAGCACCTGGAATTCCACCTGAGATTCCACCTGGGATTCCAACTGGGATTCCACCTGGAGGGGCGGCACCAATGATATTGGATGCAGATCCTGCTCGGACTATCTGTTTTCCCCCAGCAGCAGTGGCAGGGGGAATTCCAGTAGTGGGTGCGGGAGGGGGGATAGCAGCAGGTGCGGAAGGAGTGGGGCCAAGAGCAGCAGCAGCGCCAGAGGGAAGGGAAGGAGGAGGTGCCGAACCTGCTGCCGGAGCTGAGGATGCAGTGACGGAGTCAGCAGGTTGGGAATTGCTGTTTTCAGATGGTGCTGAGGCGGGGGGTTGAGAAGCTGAACCTGCTGTAGCAGCAGCAGCAGCAGCAGCAGCAGCATTATCTGTAGCAGCAGCAGCAGCAGCAGCAGTTGTTGCAGTGGTTGTAGCGGCGGCGGTTGTAGCAGCAGCTGCAGCCTCCTCCTCCTCTTCTGCTGCTCTCAGCAGCGCAGCAGTGTCGGGGAGCAACAGGAATACCTCGTTATTGTACCGCCCGTTATAGCCCCCGAACGCTACAAGCACAGGGCCCATTGATGTACCCACAGGCACCACCGACAGACCCTGGGTGGGTGGGTGTTTAGTAGGGTTGAGAAGGGTGAGATAAGTTTGGGGGCAGGGGAAAATCGTACAGTAGAAGGGGTAGGAAAGAAGTAAATGAAACTATCTTTTCCTTGACTCCATTCTGAAGCCAGCAAATTTACTGAGCAATAGACTGTAACAAATCCACCCCATCCCCTCCAGGCTCCACACGCTTCTGATGCCAAAGGTGGAGTGACATTGTAATCATGGACCATGGTAACCACACAGTAAAGCATGGCGCTACCCTTTTTCCACTCACCTCTGATGCTAGAGGCGTTTTTTCAAGCCATGTGGTAACTAACCGCAGACCAGACCAGCGAGTCAAGATCCAGCAGCATCGTCTCAGTCACGTCACGCCCCCTTCTTAATTCACTGCTGCTACCACCCTTTCTTTACCTGTCTGTCCGTCCGTCTGCCTTACCCACGCTTTTCATCTCTTCTTTCTTCACTCACTTCTGAGGCAAGAGGTGTCTTCTCCAGCGACGCGGTAACCAGGGACCACAACAGCGAGTTCAGGAGATCCAGCAGCATCGTCTCACACACCCGCCCTCAATGGCACGTCACATTGCCTGTCTTTACCGGATCCTATCCTCTTCCGTTCTCAGCACTCACTTCTGAGGCAAGCGGTGTCTTCTCAAGCGACGTGGTAACCACAGACCACACCAGCGAGTCAAGATCCAGCAGCATTGTCTCAGAGACGCCCCCGTGGTTGTCCCCTCCGCCCATGATGAACCACAGGCTGCCAAACGCCACACCCACCAGCCCTGCTCTGGGGGAGGGCACCTTGCCGTAGGTCTCTGCTAGTGACCACTCGGCCTGAAAGGAAGAGGGGAGAAGGGGGAAGCGATGAGAGAAGAGGAGAGAAGGGTGACGGGAAGAGAGACAATAGATTTCAGACAAGCATTGTCTCAGACACGCCCCTGTGGTTGCCGTCCCCCTCAACCCCCCCCCCCCCCCATGATGAACCAGAGGCTGCCAAACGCCACTCCTACTAAGCCAGCACGGGGAGAGGGCACCTTGCCATAGGTCTCTGCTAGGGATCACTCGGCCTGGAGGGGGGGAGGGTAGTGGGAAAAGAAGTTGAGGAAAGAGGCAATCGTGGCTGTTGCCCAGCCCCTCCGCCCATGATGAACCAGAGGCTGCCAAACGCCACGCCCACCAGCCCTGCTCTGAGGGAAGGCACCTTTTCGTATGTCTCAGCTAGGGACCACTCACCCTGAGGAGACACAGGCGAGAAAAGGGTTGGAGAGGGGTGGGGGGGGGGGGGGGGGGGTTGGGGGGTGTGGGTGGGAAGGAGAGAGGCAAGCGAGTCGAGGTTAAGATGCATCGTGTCGAGACCCCCCCCCCCCCGTGGTTGTTATATCGAAATCACTTTTGAGAATTCTCAAACGTGGTTGTCCCCTCCGCCCATGATGAACCACAGGCTGCCAAACGCCACTCCCACCAGCCCTGCTCTGGGGGAAGGCACCTTGCCATAGGTCTCAGCTAGTGACCACTCGGCCTGGGGAGACAAAGGGGGGAGAAGGGTTGGAGGGGAAAGGGGGTGGGTGGGAGAGGCAAGCGAGTAGAGGTTAAGATGCATCGTCTCGAACACCCCCCCGTGGTTGTCCCCTTACCCCATGATGAACCAGAGGCTGCCAAACGCCACTCCTACTGAGCCAGCACGGGGAGAGGGCACCTTGCCGTAGGTCTTGTCGGAAACTCATAATCTGTGGCATCCCATGGCTGGCCTTCTCCTTCCTGCTCTCACCCTCCCTCCCTTCTTCTTCCAAGCTCTGTTCCTGGGATACCTTACCTGCTATGCCTCAGCCACTACCCTGAGAGAATCTGGCTCCCACACGATGGCTGCCCTCAGTGGCCTAGTCACCTAGCTGCTGTAGCGTTAGTACGGCAACGTAAATCCACTACTTTAGGCAAACAATCGAGAGAACGAACTAAGCAGTGAGTTCCTAGTCCAAGCAAACAATCTATTTGAATCTCTACCCCGTGCCGCGCAGTTTCCTGTAACTCACATTGGGCTCCGCCCGCTAGGCTTTAGGATTGGCCTTTCAGATTGCCCAGGGCTCGCCCTTGAACTTGTCCCACCCTGCGCCTCGCAAGTCCCTGAATCACCACTTTGCGTCAATCCCCACGCCCCAAACTCACCTTCTACAGTACTTCGAATAACCCAACTACACCTACACTAGCGAGTAACTGAATCTATTGCAAACAACAATACATTCTGTGACAGTCTCAGCTAGGGACCACTCCGCGAGGGATATGAATGGTGGGGGGGTGTGGGTGACGGAAGAGGGGAGAGGGATATGAATGGTGGGGGGGTGTGGGTGACGGAAGAGGGGAGAGGGATATGAATGGTGGGGGGGTGTGGGTGACGGAAGAGGGGAGAGGGATATGAATGGTGGGGGGGTGTGGGTGACGGAAGAGGGGAGAGGGATATGAATGGTGGGGGGGTGTGGGTGACGGAAGAGGGGAGAGGAGGGTTGTGAGAGGAGGAGGACATAGACCCACCAGCCCTGCTCTGGGGGAGGGTACCTTGCCATAGGTCTCAGCTAGGGACCACTCGACTGACACCCCGATGTACACCATACAGAAGAACACGTATAGTAGCTACTTTAGGCTCTTACCGCGTCTAGGTTGAGCACATGCACGTCGTTGAAGCACATGGAGTGGGAGTGGGGGCAGGGGAGGTGACGGACGGACCCAGCTGTGCATACAAGGTGCCCTACTCATACAAGGACCAACTTCCTACCGCATCCCTGCCTGCCCTACCCACCATCCAAAGTAATTCCTCCTTACCGCGTCTAGATCAAGCACATGCACGTCGTTGAAGCACATGGAGTGGGAGCCGCCGCCAAAGATGGGAAGGGAGGGAAGCAGATGGTCGGTCTAAGATACCCGATTCCTACTTACCTTTTGACTCCACCAGTGATTTTTGAGAATTCTCAAAAATCACTCGCAGGGAAGCAGATGGTCGGTCCAAGATACCCGATTCCTACTTACCTTTTGACTCCACCATCACACCTTTTCACACCTCCTCCTTACCGCGTCCAGGTCGAGCACGTGCACATCGTTGAAGCACATGGAGTGGGAGCCGCCCCCAAAGATGGTGAGGTAGTGCTCGTTGTACACCGTTGCCGTGTGGCCCGCCCTGGGGAGCGGGGGTGTACCTCTGATAAATGGGGATTACGGGGATTGTGGGGAGAAAGTGCAGGAAAAACGTCGCCATGTTGGGTCAAAGGCTGTGAGGTCAAGCCTGTACACGTCATCATGTTGGGTCAATCATGTTGGGTCGTCACTGGATCACAACCACAACCTACTCCAGTGCTCGCACCTCATCCCCCACCCACTCACGTGGTGTCCAGCTTGTCCCACACGAAGGTCGTGAGGTCCAGGCTGTACACATCGTTGCTCTAAAGCACTTCCCACCACTGCCCACTCACGTGCACTCATCTCATTCCCCCCCACCCACTCACGTGGTGTCCAGCTTGTCCCACACGAAGGTCGTGAGATCCAGGCTGTACACATCGTTGAGAAGCCTCCTTTTGCTGTCCTCCCCTCCAAACACCCACACTGTCGACCCCACTTTAGCCGTGCTGTGCCCTCCCCTTGCACACTGAAAGGGGCAATACAGGGCAACGGGAGGGAGTCATGGGGTCATGCGGGGTCAATGTGGAGTCAACCGGGGTCAACCGGGGTCAACCGGGGTCAACCGGGGTCAACCGGGGTCAACCGGGGTCAACCGGGGTCAACCGGGGTCAACCGGGGTCAACCGGGGTCAACCGGGGTCAACCGGGGTCAAGGAACAGACTCGCCAAACACCCACACTGTTGACCCCACCTTGGCCGTGCTGTGCCCTCCCCTCGCACACTGCAGTCAACAGGGGTGTCAATGCAGTCAACAGGGGTGTCAATGCAGTCAACAGGGGTCAACAGAGGTTGGGAGGGGTGAACAGGGGTTAGATCAAGGAACGGAGATGTCAAACACCCACACCGTTGACCCCACCTTGGCCGTGCTGTGCCCTCCCTCGCGCACTGCAGGGTGTCAAGGGAGTAAACAGGGGGCAACAGGGGTGAACAGGGGTGTCAATGTGGTCGATAACGATCAAAAGGGGCGAGAAAGAGGCAGACACGCCAAACAATCACCCACACCATCGGCCCCCCCGTGACCGCACACACTGTAAGGGGTCAATGGGGGGGGGGTCAATAAGGGTAGGGAGTCAAAAGGTGTCAATGGAAATCAAGACAGACAGCAGAAGTCAACGACAATCTTACAGAATGTAGGGAAAGGGAGGCAGGATGAAAGACAACACCCACCCACACACACACACACACACACACACACACACACACACACACACACACACACACACACACACACACACACACACAGAAAAAGAAAAAGAAAAGAAAAAAAAACCGAAGGAAATGAGAGAGCACAGGGCTGAGTTCTTCTATGTGGGCGACAAAGTAAGATGAGGAAGTTGAATAATCAAGAAAAATGTACAGCATAAAACAACCCAGCCCACTACGCCTGTGGGTGCACTCACGGGTATTTGGCCGCGAGTCTTCATCACCCGCCACATCTTGGTGCTCACATCCAGTGCCCGCACTGCCATGCCATGCCGTGATGTGAGATGAGATGAGATGGAAGAACCATACAGAAACGAGATGTCACTAGCTGGTTTGGAAAAGAAAATGCTTGAAATTGAAAATTCGCCTCAAATCAACAGAATCAGTGTCACAGGGTAACAGAAACATAAACATAACATGGTCACAGAACATCTCACGTTTCACCTGCGCCACCCTTGAAGAACCCTCCTATGCACAGCAGAGTTACCTCGACTTGTGACATTATAATGAGGGGGTGACATGACACTACGACCACTGCACCCCTTCCCACCCATCTCAACCCTCTCACCTATCATCTTCTCTGAACCGTCCTTGAAGAACCCTCCTATGCATAGCAGAGTCACCTCGTCTAGTATGACCTGTGCGGTGAAGGGGAAGGAGATTGGCACAGGGAGTGAGTGGAGGAGCACAGGGGGTAACACTGCACAGGGTAGCACAGGAGGGAAGGGCCTTGGCAGGTGAGGAGAGCTCCATCGTGGTCCAGGAGAGAGAGGAGAGGTCCAGCACATGCACATGGGCACATGCACTGTGCACCACACACATGCACCTGCGCACATGCACACATGTGCACTCACCAAGCTGTGCCCAGCGCAGGGGAGAAGGGAGTTTGCAGGCGAAGAAACCTCCATTTTGGACCAGGCGAGAGAAGCAAGTTCCAAGACATGCACGTCACTGCTCCAAACCACACACTACTGCTCCAAACTACACACTACTGCTCCACGGATGTTATACAAAAGCCAAGCAGCACCGCACTTACTAGGCTGTGGCCCGCACAGGGGGGAAGGGCGTTTGCAGGCGAGGAGAGCTCCATCTTGGACCAGGCGAGAGAAGCAAGGTCCAGCACATGCACGTCACTGGTGAACCGCGCCCTGTTGCCCCCCACCACGTACATCCTGCCATCCAGTATCTCCGCTGCGTGCTGCACGCACGAAGAAGGAAACGGGGGAGGACATGGAGGGCGAGGGGAGGGTGAAGAGGGATATGAGAGGCGAGGTCCAGCACATGCACGTCACTGGTGCATTCTTCCGTCCAATATCTCTGCTGCATGCTGCACGCATAGGGAGGGGCAAGCAGAAACGGAAGCAGGGTGAATTAAACGAGGGGGAGGGAGGGGGAGAGAAGTTGGGAGTGAGCGGTCAAGAAGGGGAAAGAGAGAGGTCCAGCACATGCACGTTGCTGCTGCTGGTGCACCGCGCTCTGTTGCCCCCCACCATATACATCCTTCCGTCCAGGATCTCAGCTGCATGCTACATGTATGAAGAGGGGAGGTGGGGAGGGGACAGACGGGGAGGGAGGGGTGAGAAGGGGAAGGAGAGCACCCCTAGCACATGCACGTCGCTGGTGAAGAGGCGCCCATAGGGAGAGGCGCCTCTAGGGAGAGGCGCCCCTAGGGAGAGGCGCCCCTAGGGAGAGGCGCCCCTAGGGAGAGCCGCCCCTAGGGAGAGGCGCCCCTAGGGAGAGGCGCCCCTACTGCCATCACCCCCATATCCTCCTCCACAGGGCGTCCGAGGAAAGGGGGCAGGAAGGGGGGGTGTTTAGTTCAGGGCCAGGGCCAGGCAGCAGTAGGGTAGCAACTCACCTGGTATCGGGCTGACGGTTTCCTCCCAGTGACAGGAGCAGCGACCCACTTGTTGATGCAGTCGTGAGAGCGCAGCACTGCCATCACCCCCATGTCCTCCACCACAGGGGGGCCGCGGGGGAAGGCAGCGCCGTTCATGGCAGGGAAACCCTCAGCAGCGTAGCCCTCTGGGTAGCCCCGCCCGTACCCCTCCGCTGCTGCTACTGCTGCTGCTCCATGCTGTGGTGTGGGTAGGTGGGGGAACGGAGGAAAATGAAAGGCAGAGTTAAGGCTTCTCAACAACCAGCACTGCCATCACCACCATGTCCTCCACCACAGGGGGACCCCGGGGGAAGGCAGTTCCGTTCATTTCCGGGAAACCCTCAGCAGCGTAGGCGTCTGAATAGCCCCTGCCGTACCCCTCTGCTGCTGATGCTGCTGCTGCTGCTGCATGCTATGGTGTGGGTAGGTGGGGGAACGGAGGAGAATGATAGGCAGAGTTAAGGCCGCTCAACAACCAGCACTGCCATCACCACCGTATCCTCCACCACAGGGGGGCCACGAGGGAAGGCAGCGCCGTTCATTGCCGGGAAACCCTCAGCAGCGTAGGCGTCTGAATAGCCCCAGCCGTACCTCTCTGATGCTGCTGCTGCTGCATGCTCTGTGGGTGGGGGTAGTTGCAGAGGCGGAGGGGCGAGGAAGGAGGAAGACTGAGAGGAGAAAGCAAGTGAAGGACAAGTTTCTCGACTCAAGGGTCTCTTAAGAATGAACTGACTGTGGTGGAACGAGTGTGGTGGGCGGAGTGTGGTGGAGTGGAGCAAGTGTGGTGGGCGAGCAAACAAAGGCATAATGCACCAGGTGCAGTCACCCCCAAAGTTAGGCAAAAAGAAACGTGCATACCGGTTCAGTTGCTTCCATTAGTTGTGCGTTGGTCCACCAATTTGGGTCCTCCTCCTGCCAATGCCACATGCCAGAGAAACAGTTAGGGAGAAGAAGAAACGCGTACAGGTGTTGTGGCATAAGAAGCAACATGATTAACGAGACGACTTTGGAGGCACATCATAAGACTTCCTGGCAAAGGCAGGGATGCAAAGAGAAGGAGAAACAAGCACCACCGAGAGAACTAAAGCAACACGGTCAACGTCGCAACGCTCGCCAGGAAGGAAACACGTTGACCACAGCACCATTCGCTCCAGACTTAAAAGGAACAGGAACAGCACAAACAGCACTTTGGAGCCGACTCAACAGTCACCTCCCAAACTCTCAGCTTCAGGCTTCTTTCGAAGAGACCAGGAAAAAATGCGTACCTCCAGAGCACGCACGAACAGCCGCATGGCCTCTACTGGCGCCATCTTTCCCAGCTCTGTCCAACTGTAATGTAACGCACAGGGGAGAATGGGGAAAATGCTATGTTCAACTCAAAAACCACCTGCAGTGGCGTGCCAGGCACCATCTTCCTCAGCTCCGTCCATCCAAGTGCAGTGTGCATGAGCAAGGGGGGAGAGAGAAGAAGGAAGTGAGAGAGGCAGTGCCAGTGGTGTACTGACAAGACGGACAAATGAGCGACAATGAAACAATACGAGGGAACGAGGAATTCAGTGAGAACTATGGGGAGGAGGGAGAAGGCGGGGAGGACGGGGTTGGGTGGAGTGTGGGGTGGTACAGCATACAATACGACTGAGTGATGGTGAGAGCGAGCACAATTTTCGTTTCCAGAAACCAGCAGCGGTATGCACTTTCCTCTCAACTGCCTCCTACACAACCTCCCTGCCAGCCTCTCGCTATAATCACACCCACCTCTGCCACTTGGCGAGCTCTACGATGTTCCATGCCCACGGCTTGGGCTTGTTGCACTGCCCACCCACGTCTATCTTTACCCCTCATCTTTGCCCTTTGATCTGACCAATCCACCCACTCGTCCACCCACCCACCCACCTCTGCCACTTGGCGAGCTCCACTATGTTCCACGCCCATGGCTTGGGCTTGTTGCACGGCCCGTGTACTGCCTGCATCACAGAAAGGAAAAGGGGAGGTGCACCGAATTACATTAGCTAGTGTGGCTCGAAGGCTTGAGGAGAGTCAGGGACAACACGACACCCATGGATTGGTTGGGCTTGTTGCATGTACCGTGTACTGCCTGTAGGACCGTGAAGGACCGTGTACTGCCTGTAGGACCGTGAAGGACCGTGTACTGCCTGTAGGACCGTGAAGGACCGTGTACTGCCTGTAGGACCGTGAAGGACCGTGTACTGCCTGTAGGACCGTGTACTGCCTGTAGGACCGTGAAGGACCGTGTACTGCCTGTATTATAGAGAGTGGACTTTTGAGTTGACTCAAAAGTCAACAGCACGACACCACGGCTTGGGCTTGTTGCACGGCCCGTGTACAGCCTGTATTATAGAAAGGAAAGCCAAGGCGAGCGATGTTGGCAAGATCGGTTGTAAGCGATTCAAAAACCAAACCAACAGCCACAGGCTGGCATTGCAACATTGCACGGCCCGGCCCACGTACGTACCGCCTGCCCGCAACATTGCATGGAAAGGAAAGGGAAGGCGGGCAGGCAGGGGAAGTGGAGGCGAGCGATTCGGGAGACATGAAGACGGCCACAGCCAACCAACGCACCTGCTGGTAGAGCGCGAGGCACGTGAGGTCGGAATACTGTCGCTGCCCTCACATGGAGGCCCGTGCTGCACTGCCACACACCACACAACCGCACCCCACCTGCTGCTACTCACCTGCTGGTAAAGCGAGTAGAGCGCGAGGCACGTGAGGTCCGAGTACTGAGTGGAGTTGCCCGCGCCCTTGGGAATACCCACCGTCCCCGGGATCGCCGCGAACCACTAACCATGCAACCAGGCAACCATGCAACCAGGCAACCATGCAACCAGGCAACCCACGCAACCATGCAACCCACGCAACCATGCAACCAGGGGACCCACACAAGACGCACCATGCACCATGCACCACCCAGCCCACCTGCTGGTAGAGCGAGTAGAGCGCGAGGCACGTGAGGTCGGAATACTGAGTGGAGTTGCCCGCGCCCTCGGGAATGTCCACCGTCCCCGGGATCGCCGCGTACCGAGCCGCGATGTAGAACCTATCCGGGTACGGCGGCAGCGCTGCAGTCGGCTGCTTCGACATTGCTCTCCCGGTACACGTTAAAAGATTCTGCCTTTAGAAACAGCGGTTAATTTCTATAAAATTCTGAGTTGGAACGACGGTTGAGACGGAGAGAGTGCTAACAAGAGTCGGTTATTGTGTCTATAACGAGTGACGCAATCCTTTCAGGCGCGACGGCTTTAATCACCAGCACAGCTCTAAGCTCCTGTAGTTGCTGCTGATTGTACAGGGTAAGCTGTACGAACACTGCCTAAACGTCCCCGCACGCAACATCCGTTCTCTCTCACACCTAGTGCGAAACGACTCAGCTTCGCTTCCGTTTCGAATACAGCTAGACACGCGCAATCCACGCGCGGCTGGTGAGCACAACCCACTGCACGCGCTACCTTCCTAGTCGGTGGTTCGGAACTGCGAGCCTGACGGTGCTGCACGTGCGGCTAGTAAGCGCATCTGCTGCTCAGCGCATCTACTACCGCGTACGCAGCAGGCAATCAAATCAGCCAATGGGCTCGCGTGCAAACCCAGCGTAATTTGATCGCCTCAGCTCTATTCCGCTCGGCAATCCCGAAAATAACTCCCTGTTGAGTCTCGGGGAGCCTTTTGGCTGATGCTGGTTTGCCTGACAGCATGCGACCAGACCTAGTGCTCACTACAATGCGGTTGGGTAGGAATAACGCAATGAAAATAACGGTAATTGACGGTTGATTTAGTTTTTTTAATGACCCTGGCTGGACTCCGTAGGGAGGACCAGTCCCATCAGCTGGTGTCGGGTGGTATAGGGGGAGGCGAGAGTGCTTGTCCTGAATTCAAATACTCGCTAGAGTCAACCAGTCAAAATACAACAACAGCAGCAATCAAAACCCTACATGCTACAAATTAACTACTTATCACAACATCAAACAGAGTCTCATCAGTAGTCACCTCACCAGTTGACGGGTTCGGATCGGATATATCAAAAAATCTCAATCTACTGTTATTTTTTCGGGCCGAACGTAGGCGTGAATGTCTCGATGAGTGCAGTGATGGGCGATATGCTCCACGACTCATTGTGCACCGCCACTAGGTTGTCATCGTCCAGCTCATATACAGTGGAACCTGCGTAAGTAGCAGCACACCAAAGCAACGGTGCTACAGTGTAAATAATCACACAAATGTACGAAATGTTGAGCATAAAACAATGTGAAGCATGAAGCAGCAACATACACGGATCATACCTGTGAATGGCTCGACCCTGGGTTGCCAAGGGAACTTGAGGTATCTGCATGGATTCGTGACAACCAATGAGCAGCAGGATGAAGGCAAGATATCAGCACGGGGGTGGAGTGGGGCATGTTGTGGCTGGGTAGGGGGGTGAACAGGAGACCAAGGAATGTGAGGGGTAGAGGAGAGTGGGTGCAAAGAGGAGAAAGCAGAAAGAACGGTGTGTTTACGGGCCTAGACTGACAAAGAATTTACAGAAACGGACATAACAAGGCATGGGACCATGCTGCCCCCCCGAATTTACCCGCCAAGCCGCCACGTAGCAGTGACTGATTTGTCGGAGGTGACTGCAATGGAGAGCAGCTCCTGCTTGGAGAATGCCGGGTCGAAGAGAATGCTCACAGCAGCCAGGTAGCGCGCCAGACCAGAGGTGTCATTCGTCGGATCCTTGAACCTGCAACAGGGAGGCTTGTATGGAGTACAGAAGTATATCTTCATGCGTGTGACAAGCTGCGATGAGATGAGGTAGACGCATTGAAGTTGGATAAAAATCACATCCCGAAGTTGTGGAATCGTTACCATTTCAACCGTTCGAGCACACTGAAACGTAATTGCGGCAAGAATTAGGCAAGAGGGGGGGGTGCTATACCAGAGGGTTTTCAAAGTGTTCGTCCAATTGGCATCGTGCTGCTTGACAATGCTCGTTCGTTTCAGTCACATGATTTCCCTCAATAGTCACTCTGCCGCCGTCGGTTCAGGGAATATAGTGCAGATAAGGAAAGAAATCTGCGCACCTGCAGTCATCGCGATAAATAGAGGCTGTGAGGTCCCCTGTAACAAAGTACTGGCCCTCGCTAATGTCACGTGCGATAATATCCTGCCATTAACAGCGATAAATAATCATGGTAAGCTCATGCTAACCATGATGTTTCACTGAGAGAGGAGCACTGCTGACACCCCGTTGACCACACATTTCGATCACTATCCGAAGATCAATACTAGTGGTAAGCTCGTGCTGAGCATGCTGTTTCACTGAAGGAGGAGCACTGTTGACACTCCATTGAATGCACGCCTAGTTCACTCAATTCAATCATACGCGTTTCAGTCACACCTTCACTTGCTCGACAGAGAGACCTCGCTGTTTCCCGTCCTCCCCTGCTGCTGCGGCCGCTGCTCCTCTTTCGCCCGCGCATTGCGCCGCGATCACCGCTGACAGCGCGATTAAAGCCGCGCGCCGAGTTGTGACACTCGCAGTCTCAATGACGGCCCGAGAGGGACTGGCGCACGATATCTCATTCCCTGATATCACGGGATCAAAGCTAGCGGGAGTTGTGGTGGAGGGAGTTTGCGCGCTGGAAGAGTGGCGGCTAGAGGCGGTAATGGATGGTCGCGAGAAGGTGAGGCGCGACGAAAGGACGGAGCGCGGAAGTGTGACACGAGGGTCACAGGGGAATGGAGGAGACGGGAGAAGAGCGGCGGAAGCAACGCGAAGAGAGGCCATTGGAGGAGATTAGTGGCCAGTCCGTGTCAGTCTTCGCGCTGCGGAGAGGCTTGCCAGAAGCAGAACGAAGCACTGGGAATGCCGAATGGATGGATGGATTGATGGCAGTTTATCAATGGGGCAGATTTGGCATCCTCGTTTTCGATCTCTCATTTGTAGTTGAGTCGGCTTTATTTTGCTGTTAGGCGAGTAGATGCACCGCCCAGTAATGTTTTTAATGGATTGGTGAAGTAGCTGCCCAGCACATTCTACAAACTTCACATTTTATATTTCCGACCATGACTCTGAATTCACCTCATCTTAAAAACGGCTTTCATGGTACGTGGCACGAATCTACATGTCAAAGATACGCGGACAGGATTGTTTGATGAAGATTCAGACGAAACAGCTTCGCTTGACGTCAAGGCCGTAGCCGCATGAAGGTAATCTGGCAGTGCAAAAACGAAACAAGGAACAAAAGGGTGTTACACATTGCACATAAGGACATCTCACTTATCGATTCGATGCGCAATCTTTTTCCCGTCTTTGCCCAATCCGCAATCTCGTCATGCATCGCTCTCCTCCCCAGCATGCTTGACAATAGACAGTGGTCTAGTAACCTCGTAATACTAGAGACCCCACTTGCCATTTCGCCACCGCTTGCCATTTCGCCATGTTATCATGCCATATCTGCCCCTCGTTCGTTTCCCTCTCTCCACTCACCCTTCCCCTACCTACCCCCCTGTACCCCCGGCCCCTCCCCTTTCATGCGTTCAGCTCACCTGTATACGCTTGATCCTTGAACACAAGCAGGCTGCGAGGGGGCAGAGCCACACTCTCCCCCTCAACACATCAGAACCAGGCAGCTCTAGAGCTGCTACTATTGGCTAAGGTAAACACACGCTCTCACCACACCCTCTCACCTGTACACGCTTGATCCTTGAACACCAGCAGGCTGCGAGGGGGCAGAGCCACACCCTCCCTCATCTCCACTGCATCCCCAGACGAACCCCACTCGCCTGCCTCTCCCCAAACCAGCTCACCTGTGTAAGCTTGATCCTTGAACACCAGCAGGCTGCGAGGGGGCAGTGCCACACTCTCCCTCATTACCACTGCATCGCCAGATGAATTCTTCTTGCCAGCCTCTTCTCGTTCCATTACATCGTTCCCATCTCCTTCCCTCTCAGATTCACCGAGTACCTCCTCCCTGCCTCCCTCCAAAAGCCTCTGGTGCTGCGCGTGCATCAAATCCAAAGCCGCCTCACAAGCACCCTCGCTGCTCTCTCTGCCGCTCTCACTGCTTCCCTCCAGAAGTCTCTGGTGTGGAGAGAACACCATGGTTCCGGGAAGGCCAAGAGAGAGGATGGCCACACAGGGGAAGTAGGCCGGGCCGTCCTGGTGTGGCTGAAGAGGGAGGGGAGTTGGCGGCGGGAGGGGAGTTGGCGGCGGGAGACGAGAAGGAGCAGGAAGAAATGGGTAAGAATGATTAGAGGCAGGCCGAGGGAGAGCATGACGAGACAGGGGAGGTAGGCCTTTGAGAATTCTCAAAAGTCACTCAAACACAGGGGAGGTTGGCCGGGCCGTCCTGGTGTGGCTGAAGAGGGAAAGGAGGGAGAGGCATGAGGGGAAGGCGGGAGGAAAAAAGAGGGGCGAAAGGTACCTGAATGGGTAGAGGGGGGCCGAGAGGGAGTATGTGGCAGCTTATAAAAAGTAGGAAGGACCGTCTTTTAAGTAGGCAGTGTGGATGGGTTGAGAGAGGAGGGACAGGGAAGGGGGTCCTTATGGGGGAAGGGGGTCCTTATGGGGGAAGGGGAGGTTCCCTCCATGGCACGAATGATGCTTCAAGCACAGCACCGATTTATTTTTGGCGCCTCAAAAATCGTCCTTATGGTGGAAGGAGAGGCTCTTATGGCGCAAAGGATGCTTCAAGCACAGCACCAATAATGTATCCGTTGGAGAGGTTCTTATGGAGCCTGGAATCCATTCACACCTTTCGTACTCACCACTGACCCTCCACTCACCATCATGGCCTGCCCTTCCTGGTACTCGTTCACGAGCACGTGGTTGATGGCGGAGGGGAAGACAAACAAATACTCACATTGTTACTCCACTCACACCACTAGCAATCCACTCACCATGATGCCCTGCCCCTCCTGGTACTCATTCACGAGCACGTGGTTGATGGGAAAGGGGAAGGACGTGGCCTTTACTCACACTCCTGTCACTCCACTCACACTCCTGTCACTCCACTCACACTCCTGTCACTCCACTCACACCCTTGTCACTCCACTCACACCCTTGTCACTCCACTCACACCCTTGTCACTCCACTCACACTCCTGTCACTCCACTCACACCCTTGTCACTCCACTCACACCCTTGTCACTCCACTCACACCCTTGTCACTCCACTCACACCCTTGTCACTCCACTCACACCCTTGTCACTCCACTCACACCCTTGTCACTCCACTCACACCCTTGTCACTCCACTCACACCCTTGTCACTCCACTCACACCCTTGTCACTCCACTCACACCTGTCACTCCACTCACCATGATGCCCTGCCCCTCATTGCTCATTGCTCATGCTAGTTGCTTGCTGCTCATTGCTCATTGCCCATTGCTCATTGCTCATTGCTCATTGCTCATTGCTCGTGCTAGTTGCTGCTGCTCATTGCTGCAATCCACTCACCATGATGCCTTGTCCCTCATGGTACTCATTCACAAGCACGTGGTTGATGGGTGAGGGGAAGGCGCTGCTGAGGTCAGCTGAGAGCCGAGACGTGAAGCTCTGTAGCCATTGTGGCACTGATCGAGATACGACATGAACAGGAGGGCATGCAGGGATGGGAGGTTTGTGAGTGGACTCAAAAAGAGGCGAGACGTGAAGCTCTGTAGCCATTGTGGCACTGATCGAGATACGACATGAACAGGAGGGCATGCAGGGATGGGAGGTTTGTGAGTGGACTCAAAAAGAGGCGAGACGTGAAGCTCTGTAGCCATTGAGGCACTGATCGAGATAAGGCAGGAATGGGATAGCACGTAGAGGTGGGAGTTTATAGAGCACGTAGGGATGGGAGGGAAGTTGTGTACACCCTCTTTCTCACCTATCTCACCAGCGGAAGCACTGGCTACAGTGCGTACGTGTGCTTGGACCCTAGCGATCTGGTGCTTGCAACCGAACCCCAGGTAGGTGGCGGGCAATTGCACTCCAGAGGAACGGTACACAAAGGTTTCTAGAACAAAAATTGCATTTGCGTACGGTTAAATGCGGTAAATGTGCTTATATGGTATGTTCTGGGACCAATCTGGACGCATTGATGTCAGTACAGCCGGTGCGTCAGTACGGCCAATGACAGTGTAGCGAGAAACAGGGTGTAGTCGATGGCAATGGAAGAAGGGAACAAATACTGACAGGGGAATTGGAGGCACAGTGCTGGGTCACCAAGAATTGGAAAGAAAAGAGAGGTGGGATGGAAGAGGAACGATGATGACGTTTGCCTCGTGGGGCAAACGATGTTAATAATGATGTTAATGATGATGTTAATACTGATGTTAATAATGATGTTCATAACGATGTTAATAACGATGTTAATAATGATGTTAATAATGGAACGAGGGGTGGGCTGAATCACACCCACCCAGTTATTATCACACTCAATTATATAAAGCACACTCACACGGTTGAGCTATCAGCCCCTTATCATGCACCACGCCGCCTGCAGCAGACATAAGGAGGCATGGATAGAGATAATATACTTAAGTTCACCCTACTATGGAGAAAGGACTCGACAATCTGCAGCAGACATAAGGCGGCAGAGTGGCACAATGTAAAACGCGTCCATCCCATGCCCTTTTCCCCTTACACCCAACCCACTCCTAACCGCTCACCCCAGTTCTGCAATCTTCTGCCAGTGACATTCTTCCACTTCGTGACTGGTGCTGACGCAACCTGATGGCCGGATGACGTGGCAGCACGCCAGCAGGAGGTGTCAGCGTGTAAACACGAAAGTGAAAGACAGCAAACGTAGATTTGCAATCGTGAATCTGCTCACCTGTGACAGCAACAGTTGCTCTTCCTGCACTGAAAGGTATTCTGGGACCACGTATACCGAGGACACTCGACCTACGCGAAACGGCTCCAAGCCTTGGCACCGAAGCTGCTGCCGAACCAACTCGGACTGCTGATGAAGCCTCGGCGAATCTGTTGCGTCCTCCGATCGTAACTCAGATGAGCAAGATATCTCATCCATTCAAACCAGTACTTAAAAATGTATGAAACGCCTCAAAAAGCGAACGTAAAAAAGGAGGCTCACGTTACGAGATTCCTAATGCGATGTGCTGGGAAGAGTGATAAAAGAAGTGTCTAGCTGGCCGAATCCCCAGCACCCTGGGATTCCTGAACGTTTTAAGTGTACGCGACATGAAACACCGTCGATAAATGCAGAGCGAAATTGAATAGAGAATAGCATTTTTTGTCTGAGTCCAATTCTTCAATAATACAACCATATGATTTTCTCCTTCTTGCATGCCTGTCCTTGATAGGTAACATTTTGGCTGATAGGGACACGCTTCTTTGGTTAGCCATGAATGCATTCATTAGATATAAAATCACTGTTCTTTACACGCCAAGACCTTGTAACACTAGTGCAATGTGCACAAAAGTGGTCCCACAGGTAGGAAGTATTAGTTCCTAAACTTGCATGCTTGAATCACATCAATTACCGTACCTTCTAACGACCATAAGTCCAACCGACATGGCTGAGGTCATCTATCGATATGATCCCTCAACCCAAATCAACTATAACACTACCTCGTTATAAGCCCTAGTCTTGGAACATGAGAGCAACACCCACCATGGTGAGCCAAACCGAGAAGGCCACCCAGAAATAAGGGCTCTTCTCCCACCTGGGCGGCTTAAACGACATGAGGTCATCCATATAGTCCCTCGACCCAGAGTTTTTGAGCTTCTTGATGCGCTTGGGCCGCCTCTCAGTCACCATCTGACTCCACGTGCGCCCAGAGCTGTGGGTAGGGAGAGAGAGAGAAGAGGAGGGGGGTGAAAGGGTGGGAGGCGAGGGGGGGAGAGGGGGACGGGAAGGGAGCAGGGGAAACGGTGATGAGGGGTTGAATTGGCACTGGTAAGAGGAGACGTGTGGGTGCAAGGTGAAGTGGTTCAGAAGGACATGAGGTCATCCATATAGTCCCTCGACCCTGAGTTCTTTAGCTTCTTGATGCGCTTGGGCCGCCTCTCTGTCACCATCTGACTCCACGTGCGCCCAGAGCTGGAGAAAGAAGAGGTGGGGGGGGGGGAAGAGGGGGGAGGAGAGGGGACCTCTAAGTGGAAAAGTGTGAGCAGAGCTTGGGCCGTCTCTCGGTTACCATCTGACTCAACGTGCGCCCAGAGCTGGCGGGGAGAGGGGGAGAGGGTTGAAAGGGTGGACAATGGGGAGGGTCGGCAGTGAAAGATGGTGGGGGGGGGATGCGAGGAGAGTGGGGGACCGTGGTGAGGGCAAGAGTGGCACAGAGGAGGGTGTGAGGGTGTGAGCAGAGGTTGATAGGTGCGGTCGGGTTGAACGACATGGGGTCATCCATATACTAGTCTCTTGAGCTGGAGTTTTCCAAATCTTGATGCCCTTGAGCCGTCTCTCAGTCACCATCTGACTCCACGTGCGCCCAGAGCTGGGGAAACAAGAGGTGGGGGGAGGAGTGTTGGGAGGTTGGGAGGGGGATGGGGAATGTTTTTTGTACAAAAATGTGACCAGAGCTTGGGCTGCCACTCACTAACCATCTGACTCCACATGCACCCAGGGCTGGGGAAAAGAGAGGGGACGATGAGGGCTTAGAAACTTGCACCCAACCCCCACATATTGATGCTCTCACCCTCACTCAACCCTCACCTGTTGTTGTCCTTGTGAAGTAACGGCACTTTGAGGATCTCATCGGGGGGACAGCTTCAGCTTGGGCGCCTCTGCAATGAACTGCATGTTAGCACCCTGCTTGCGTATAATCTATGCATCCAGCCCAACTTCCTCTTCCCCTCACCCTCATTCACCCCGTACCTGTTGTTACCCAGTTGCCGAGAATCAGCACTTTCAGGATCTCAACGGGGGGACAGCTTCAGCTTGGGCGCCTCTGCAATGCACTGCATGTCAGCAGCCTGCTTGCGTATAATCTATGCATCCAGCCCAACTTCCTCTTCCCCTCACCCCCATTCAGCCCGTACCTGTTGTTGTCCTTGTCCAGAATCGGCACCTTCAGGATCTCATCGGGGGACAGCTTGAGCTTGGGCGCCTCTGCGATATACCGCATGTTGGCGGCCTGGCTGCCTGTATGCCTGCTCTCAACCCATTCACCCAATCCCACACCACCGCTCCTCACCTGTTGTTGTCCTTGTCCAATATCGGTACTTTGAGGATCTCATCGGGGGACAGCTTGAGCTTGGGCGCCTCCGCGATATACCGCATGTTAGCGGCCTGGTTGCGGATGGCGGGCATGGGGTGGTTGCTCTCCAGCTTGCGGTACAGAGCTAGACATTCAGGGCGCTGCCCGTTGGCATCATATGCCATCGCCAGCCAGAGTTGGATCTGGATAGGGGCAGGGGGAGGAGCAGAGGGGGGAGAATGCGAATAGCAGGCATGGGTTGGTTGCTCTCCAGCTTGCGATAGAGCGCCAGGCACTCTAGGCGTTGCCCGTTGGCATCAGAGTTGGATCTTGGGAGGAGAGGGAATGGGGGACGGGGGCAGAGGGAAGGGCAGGCAGGGGTGACGGAGCACGGGAAGGAGCATGGAAGCAGCACGGAAGAGCAGTTCGGAGTCAGGAGGACAGGGGCAGGGGGAGAGGCATGCGGATGGCGGGCATGGGGTGGGTGCTCTCCAGCTTGCGGTAGAGCGCCAGGCACTCTAGGCGCTGACCATTTGCATCGTAGGCCATTGAGAGCCAGAGTTGGATCTGGATAAGGGGAGAAGAGGGGAGGGGAAGGGGAGGGGGGCATGGGGTGGGTGCTCTCCAGCTTGTGATACAGCGCAAGGCACTCTGGCCGCTGCCCATTAGCATCGTGGGCCATCGCCAGCCATAGTTGGATCTGCGTGGGGGAAAGGGGGCAGGAGAAGAGGCGCAGGAGCAAGCAGGAACTCAACTGACCTCTCCGGCAAGCTTCGACGTGAACTCCACGTTCCCCAGCGCCTGCTCGAGGATTGATCGCCACGCTCTTGTGCAGTCGTGAGATGTCTCAGAAGTCTATGTGCGCTCAAGGGAATGCCCGCTCAAGGCAAAGTGCACTAAAGGCAGAAGCTCAACTGAGCTCCCCTGCGAGTTTCGACGTGAACTCTACGTTCCCCAGCGCCTGCTCGAGGATCGCCACGCTCTTGTCCAGCTCATGGAGCAGGCCAAGCAATATGCATGCGACTGACTAACCTCTCCGGCTAGTTTCGACGTGAATTCCACGTTTCCCAGCGCCTGCTCGAGGATCGCCACGCTCTTGTCGTACACGCCGCGCCCGTACGCCTGCTGCCCGAACGCGAACAGCTCCGCCGCCTCGCGCCGCTTCTCCGCCTGCTCCTGCGCCCGCTTCGCCAGTAGCTCCCGCAGCTTCTCCGCCTTCCGCTCCGCGCGCTGCTCCGCGGTCAACCCGTCTTCCCCAATCTCCGCCGATCCTCCCGCTCCGCCCGCTTCTTCCCCTCCTCCTGCAGCAGCAGCAGCGGCAGCGGCTCGTCGTGCTTCCTCTTCGGCTTCATCTAGCTCTTTCTCCAGTGCCTTGCGCTCTCTAAGGATGGCTTTAAGTTCCTCGATTTCGTCCATTTTCTGTTGACCCTCCTCGCCTTCCCAGAAGCTTCCTTCAGTTTCATCGTCCTCCTGGTTTCCTTTCGAACCCCCTCGATTGGCTTGAGCAGCCACGCGGCGCGAGCCTGTTGATCCTCTACCTTCTTGAAATCGTAGTGGATCATTTTTATTAGTACGAACTCCTGGTCTTGAAGGAGTTAAAAAAGTCTTGAAGCGTGAAGGGAGGAATGCTGGACCTGAGGAGGAATTAGCGAGAATAGAGGAGGATTGTAGCGAGGATGTAGTTCTCGGTTTCACAGTATGATGGGAGAATGCTGTGACAGTCGCCATCGCGGAGTCAGCACTAGATAGGGGATGGAATGCGACCAATCCACTAGGCTCGACTGCGGACAATCAGCTGACTTAGGCGCCACCAATCAAGTGCCCGATTCCACAGATTCGCATCCAGAAAGTCGTCGCCATTCACGCACTCAACACAGCCAACATTGCTATTTGCCAAGTACAGCCAGCTCGACTTGCTTTTAATCACTGGTGCTATTTTTCGGGACACTCTACCGCTGCGACTCACGCCAAAGACTGGACACTAGAATTTGTCAGAGCACAGGAGCTACTAAGTTTCCAAGAGGCAATGGCGGTACTAAGTTTACTGAAAGACTAGGAATAGGAGCCAGGAATCTAATGTGGTGTGGAGCATTGCGGATTCAAGTATCTGTTCTGCTACCTTTCCAACTCCACCAATCGCATCATCTCCCGCTTCTTATTTGTGCCATCAAGAGCCACGCACTTTATCCACGTGGCGGTATTCTGTCGTGATCAGTAGCTTGTGGCCCTTGATTGTGTACGCGCTAACGCATCACTCAAATTCCTATACAATCACTCCAGATTGTACGATCCTCATACAGTAATCGCTACTGTAAAAGAATGTTGGTCCTCTTCCATCCAATCCATCAATAGCCGCCTCCCTCCCATCACTTTCTGTTGGGTCAAAACTGGCTACGTACTGTATCGTGCACAAAAGTCGCAGAAGCAGGTCGTTATTTTCTTCCGAGGCGGTTTTTCCAGAGGTTCTTTCCATTCATCTTACCCGCCACCACCACCACCACAACATAGGAGCCAGTTCCCATAACTTTGTAGCCATAGGGACGCCCCGCGGCTTGGGAGTTACTGCAACTTCCAGCCGCGCGCCAAAATCTCGACGCAGGGATTCGATTTGATGAAGAATTAGGAGACAGTGCATACTGTGCAAAGCAAGCCTGATGCGCTGGACTGAAGCCGCCTGAGCTACAGTTCTCGCAACTTGCCTTGCGGTGAACTTTTGCAGACAGTCGAGTCAACTGCTGTAGTCGTAACTATTGCCATAGCGACGCAGGCGGCATGTGGTATGACGTACTGTACTATTCTTATCATTGCTGCTACATCGGTGAGGCAAGAAACGTATTCTCTTTTCGCCGTTAGAGTTGTCCACCCACTTCGCCACAGCTTCCGCCAACCATGGCATGTGCGACTGGGCACGCAGTCGGTAGCATGAAAACATATTATGTGCCTGTCCTGGGGTTTCCGAGTTGGAAGGATTGGATGTGTATCAGCGGCACTAAAGGATGACGTAGGCGGTGCTGTTCCCTCACTGCACAATGGAGGTGCGAAGTGTCGCTGTTTGTGATTTAAACTGGGGCTGACCAGCAGGGGAAAGGGAGGTAGTATGCTGGGGCGTCCTGAACGTGGGCGGTTGAAAGGGGAGGCCGTTACACTTCTACTGGCAGTACGGGGCTCTCTTCTCAATCCACAACCACGGAGCTCCGCATACTTAAGGCTTTTGATGAAAAACGTTTTACAGCTTTGAGTTAGGGAACTAGTGCTCCGAGTGTGCATGTAGTACATACTAGCGTCGTCGTTTCTTGAACCGCACAGGTCTTGCTAACAAGTAGTGCCAGGCACGCTGCACCAGAATTACTTGTAACAGATAGCTGAAGGGCCATAGTAACGTCGTGGAACTCTGAACAGCATGAGCGGAATGATTCCAACCTTGCTAAGGCCATTCTTTCCCCGCTGCATCGCCAAACGATGGATAATTGTCCTCCTCATGCTTCTAACTTGCACTCAACGAGGCGAAGGTGGCAAACCAGCTCCCAAACCGGCCTTGGGTCCAGGAAGGAGAGAGCTGAATGGCATTTCCCAAGTCATTCTGGGTGCTAGGAAGTTTACAGTCTTTATGATCCACTTCAAACGAACAGGTAAACAAGATTCAAATGAGTCACTGCTAGCTTCGCCCCGCATCATCATGTGTGCATCATCAAGTACTTTGGCTGAAACCTGATTGCATCACCTTGCTTATGCTGGCGTTCGTGATTCGTACTTCTTCAGGACTTGACCCGATGATTGCAAGGTATGCAGACCGACAGCCTATCACCTTCCTGTTACCTCCAGACGCCGCGTTCAATGCTCTCCCGGCTAACATCCGCAGCCAACTAACGGGCGCGAAGCTAGTGAAGTTGATCCAGTTCCACATGCTTCTGGAGAAGTGGTCGTTTGCCTTCTTCAGCGAGCCAACTTTAAATTCTAAGCTCCGCTCGTTCCGTACGGTTCTTGGGCTTTACATGTTTTTTCTCCCGCCGCAACCGGGAAGCAATACGGTGACTGTGAATTCTGGTAGGTCCTTGCACGTTGGCACTCCGGGCCAGGTGATTGGTGGCGACATTGGGGGAAGGGATAGATATCTTCGATTTATAGCGCAGAGATTAAATAGGATCATTATTCCTCCTGGGGTGTTTACTTGAAAATCAAGAAATTCCGGCGTTATTTGTCCACCGTTCAGATATTACATCGGGGTACTCATGGTCAAGAACGTCGCTTGCGCACCCGACTACCGTAAATTGCACGAAACGAAATGACAGGCAGCGCGGCGAGCTACCAGAAGGCTGACGACAATGCTAGGCAACTCCTCGCAAGTAACTCCTATCATAACAGGGTTCAGTGTCCATGATGAAACTTAATCCTGCCACCATGAAGTGAGGGAAGCCAGCTGAGGAAAAGAACAATTCTAGTGCTCTCGGATTGCGATTCCTGTCACATGTGCTGTTCGAACAACTTTCCTAAAGCTGGCTCACTGATTACCACGCATTCCCTCGAATGGAAATACCTTTTTCTCTCTGGATCCACGTTCTAACGGAGCTTCTTGTGTTGTATCTTGATTGTGCGAAAAGAACATGGTACGTAACCAGGCCCAACGTGACCTATCACGGTTGGTTACGACGAACGTCTCGCTGTCGCATGACCAACTTCAAACGAAGATTCCTGCAGGAGGAAAGCACAAGCAGATTGGGACCACCATCCAACCAGCGCCCAACCAAGGTCCACAATTGGTCAACTTCCCCGAGCACCAATCGTCCCATCGCCAACACAGCCGTCCGATTCGCTGACCTTGAACTTTTCCCACAGGCCAGGACATCAGGAGCCATCGATGCGAGCATGAGTCACCCGTTGACACGTCATGCCTGTCATCCTGTTCTCCAATTTGAAGTCCTGACCTGACCTGAGTTGAACCAGACTACAGGACTGACAACAATGCAGGTCACAGAAAGAGCACATGAATACGAGAATCCTTGATTCCCTCTTCCTCTTTCAGCTTGAATCTCCTCCCTTCGCCTTTGGTTGGAGGAGCATACCTTTCCGACCACTGCCACCTTCTTGACGCTCTTTCACGGTTGGGACTGTGTTGCTCTACGAGCCGAGCAAAACGTGTGCACCACAGGAGAGTGGACGTGTGTTTCCTTCTAGTCTCGTTATACTTCAATATTGAGCCGTAAGCGCGGGTGAAGGGACCACGTTGTAGGCCAGTTGCGAGATCAGGCCGTCTCGCTTTCTTTCTCGTGTTGATTCGGAAGCTCATATATTCTCAATGGCCACGTTAGCTGCTGTCAGTGGCTCGACCCTGCTGCCAGTGAAATCTCTAAGCACAATCTCTCGTTGCTCAGTGTCTGCGTGCTCAACCTCCAATGCCAGAGCGCCAGCTGGCAACCTCCAACAAAAGCCGTGTTGCTCCTTCAAGTCTTTGGAAAGCAGCATTGCACGAGCCCAGACGATTATACCCTCTGGCGGACCTAATTCACGAAGGAGAAATGTTACCGTGCAAAGCTCCTGCCGAATAAACGGAGGGAGAACAGAATGTGGCTCGTCCATTGAAGATGTTCGGCTGAGTGAGCAAGCGAAACCAGCACCATCAATTAGAAGCCGTTCCCAGCAGAGATTCCTCCAATGGCCGTCACTTCCATCTGGTCTTTTCCCATCAACTTCAGCTCAGTCGCCTTCCCTGGTCGCGTCTGCCTCCCTTGCAGCAGCAGTAGGTGCATTGTCTCTCTCCTTGCTAGGCCTTGCCGCGCCAGAAACGGCTGCAGCAGCAGCGACAGCTGACGTCATCGCCGCTTCCGCTGCGGTGCCAGCTGGCGTCAGTGGCATTTTGGATCTCGCGGACTTCCAGGCTGGATTTGCTTCGGTAAGTGCAGCCAGATTTCAATACAAATCATGAACAGTTTTTTGATGGAGTAAGAAGAGAGGGAGAATAAAAATGGATGTGTACAATTCCTTCCGCATTTCGTTTCTGATGGTTTCTTCCACTCATTCTGCCTCCATTTGCGGGCCGTCTTTCTAATTGTTCTGGAGGTTCTGTCCGTCTGGGTTACCCTGTCCGTCATTGCGTTATCAGGCCTTCCTCCTGGTCCTCTTCTCTGAAATCGGCGACAAGACGTTCTTCATCGCGGTAAGAAGGCGACTAGAATTTCAGCCAGGCTCTCAGTTAGTCTGTCAACCGCCGCTAACACCACTTGGAGGCCTGACTTTGCCAACCAAATGGGCAAACTAAATGAACTCGCAAGCGTGTGCGCTTCCAACTCTCCATTTCGCCCCATTGCTTTCCCCATCAGGCAGTGCTGGCCACGAGGCGTCCCAATCTGGAGGTCTTCGCAGGCACCTTTGGCGCCCTCGCGTGAGTGCAGTGTACGGTGTACCATAGCTGTACGTTTGTC